CATGCATGTATTTTTCACTTTGCAGAAAGTTATTGCCTAAAAGTGCTTTACGATCTGATCGGATTGAAAAATTACTATTTCTGTAAATTGGCCTGTAGCTACGCCTGGGTGATAAGTCAATATGATAATTTGATGCGCTAAAGTTCGTAATATAATGATAAAATAGTCAGTACTTTTCAAAAGTCCAAGTTTTTAAATGTGCAAATATATATATACCGTATATTTCCTATAGACTATTAAACTAAGACAGCATTTTTGCCCTTGCTTTGGCAGAAAGAGGCGGTCTGAGCAGGCAGAAAACTCCATTACTCCATTACTCCATTACGTGCCAAATTAATACCAAAATTGCACTCCATAAACACTTTCACCGCTCCGTCTACCTTGCTGCATGTGGGATTGTTTGGAGTCAAGAAAATACAAAAAAAAGGTGCAAGTGCACAACAATCAAATTCTGCCCTGTGAAAACTGAACAAAGCAAAATGTTGTGAATGAAAGGTCGCTGTCAGCCTCATGTGTTTCTAATAGTGTTGAGAGAGAGAGAAACCTGAGTGAGTCCACCTCAACCGTGATCATGGAGGGCTGCGTGTCAGGTCCTGACCTGGAGCTGTGATATGCTCTGCTGCATGAAAGAGGGAGAGGGGGAGGGGGGGGCACTGATGCATAAAGAGGTGCCTTTGAGGAGATTTGCAGCACTTCCTTATCTCTATATGTGAAAGAAGAAATCCTGGACCCTTAACTGCTACCTACTGTCACCCAGGGAACAGGCTGCTGGGAGATTTGTGCCAGATGCTGCCTCTGAAAGCACAGACGAGGACGAGGAGCTCTCGTCTCCACTGTAGGGCCGTGTGCTTTCACTGTGTGTCTGTACGCTTTGATGTCGGGCAGTACGCTGTGTCCCCCAGGTGTTCCACACTACACCGGGGCTGCGTATTGAGAAATCCTCCTGCCTGTCACCCACATTTTCATGCTAGCTTTTCACACCCTCCCCTCTCTGAGGGACTCTGTGTCCACTCACTACTTTTATTCAGAGAAGTCGTGAAATAGTCTGAAGCGCTGGTCTGCTCTCACATTTTCTCATGCGTAGCTTAAAAAAAGAGAGATTTTCTTCCCCTGAAAGTATATGTAGAATGTGTTGTATCTGATTATATGATTAAATGATATTTTTCTACTTTTTTCTGCTCATCCCCCCAAAGAAATCAGCCTGACATGTTTCGTGGACATGAGGGTTTATAGATAACTTATTACTGGACGGTTTAATGTCCTCCGAAGCATTCGGTCTCATTTCATGGCCCACCAGGCATGTGAGGGATTAGGGTGAGTAAATGAGGCCGGTTTCTTGTGTCAGAGGTGATTTGGACTCCTTATCAGTGGTGGAGCTGCAGATCTACTGAGACTTAAGCTGACAGCCTTAATCAAATGGGAAAGCCAATAATGGTGACCACTGTAGTTAGCGTCTGAGGGTATTGTCTCTGTGTAAGGCAGATAATGAGCGACTGTATGCAGAGGCGGTCCTGGAAGTATCCCCCTCATTATGTCTGGTATTGTCTGATTTGCATTGTGTGAGTCTGTCTCCATTTGCCTTGAATGAAGGACAGAAAAGTAATTTGTTGTTTGTCTAAATTTTCTCTGTGCCTTTAAACTTTATAGAGGGTTTAAAAGTGCTACATAACAGCATTAATACTCAGAAGTAATCAAATTAGATCATTACCAATAATACATTTGTGGCAGCAGGTGAGATCTGTCATTCAATCAGCTGAATTACTTTATAACATGAAGGCAGATTGTTTTATTGCATAGAAAAAGTTGCTGCTCTTGCTCTTTCTGTGCAAGTTTTGGCAACATCCTCTATGTGTTGCATTGGTATTTATGGAAAATGTGATCTTAATTTTGAGAAATATTGTGTCCTTTCTCTTTTCTCCTTTACACGGAACTCAGAGAATGAGAGGAAAGTGAACATAAATGGGTCTTTGTTTTGTGACGAGTCAGCATCCCAGAACCACGAATGTCTGTACACAATTTTGTGCCAATCCAACCAATAGACATGGAGTTATATATCAGCACAAAGGAAAACTTTGACCCGATGATGTTGCTAGAGAGAAAGTCAGGGGATGACTAAAATCAGCATGCTTGGTCCTCTGTGGAACATTAAGGAAAATCCGTCAAATGTTCTTTGAGAAAAATCAGTCTGGACCAAAACTGACATTTGCCATCCATAGAGCCCCGCTGCTCGCATGGCTAAAGGTAACAAGTACTGAAAGCTGACCTTGAATTTCTTTACTTGGTCTTCAATCATGATTTTGCCAGATTCAATTATCCAGTTATGCCAGACCAAGTTCTTGTGCAGACATCAGCACTTAACATTGGATGAGTTTGGCTTTGAATGAACAAAGAGGTTTTTTGCAGAAAACGTATCTGTATTCCTCGACGCAAGTTATCCAAAACCAGTTGGTATTGGCACCAAAACGTATTACGCTGGCACAAGTTTCCAACGATTCCCAGCCCTGCTGTGACGACGACAAGATGGCAGCATTGAAAGTTTCTGGATCACAAAAGAGAGAAGGATGTAGGCAAGGAATTTAAAAAGAAAGGAGAGCATTCAAACATTGGCATTGGCCTTTTGGGCCCTAGCCCTATTAGCCTTAACCATATCATGGAAGCTACATCCAGCATGGTTTTATTTGATCACAGTCAAACTGTTAAACTTTAATAGTGACATAATTATGATTGGAGTAGTTAATAGTATTTAATCTACCATTTGAAATGTTATTGTGTTTGTTGTTAAACTGAGTCTCTCTTCCTGCCCCCTTCTGTCGCTCATCCCTCCAACAGACCTCAGTCATTTGAGGTCTTGTTGTCCAGTCACAGGGCTGATCCTGTCAACACATCCAAATATTCTGGAGCGGTGCGTTTTTGTTTTTTTTCTGAACGAATTAGCTCTGTATCATCCAGACGCAGACTGCAGACAGCCACACATGTATGCACACACACACACACACACACACACACACACACACACACACACACACAGGCAGCAGTTTTGGTTGTCAGGGTCCATAGATCATGGGTCATGTGTACTTGTGCTTTAGTCCGTGCCGCATAAAGTCACAACAGGAACAGATAAGACCAGTCCCAGGTTGGCTTTGGAAGCCAAATCCCCAGCAACCCCCCAGTGCTAATCGGATTAGCTGAAAAGTTAGCAGCGCGGCCCCAAAGAGACACGACGTTTTTTACACTGACTTCTGTGACATGCTTTGCTCTCCAGCCTCCATAATCTGCTTCATGTCTCAAAGCCGTCTCACATCATCTTTGTGAGAGTAAACAACAACTTCAGTACGTGATGAACTGTTTTTAACCTTTGGTTTAGGGATAGAAACATATATTTGAGCTGGTTGGAAGGTGTGTGTGTGTGTGTGTGTGTGTGTGTGTGTGTGTGTGTGTGTGTGTGTGTGTGTGTGTGAGGGGGATCTGGTCCACCCAGGTGGGGGAACAATGGCATGCCCGTTGTCTTAAAATAAATGGTTGGCTGAGCATAGGCGGAGGAGGGAGGGACAAAAAGAAGAAAAAAAAAAATGAGTTGTGAAAATGATTGGTGCTGAAGCGGGGGGAGGAGACGGGGTGGTGATGGGGGAGCAGCCGGCTGAATGGGGGCAGCAGGGTGGCAACTGGACTCTTAAAGCTCTTTTCATGCTTGGTCTGTTTCAACCAATGCTGAGGACACTAAGGTCTAGCCTTACTGATTGTTTTTCATTTATTTTGAAAACTATTGAATAGTCAAAAACAAAAAAACTGGGATGTCCCTAGTTCTTTTTTTCTTTTGCACCCAAGTATCTGGTTACACCAAATTTAGAGCATGTTTTCTCCGTAATACAGCTGCACAGTGCACCCAACACTTGACCCACATTAATCAGTTAACACAATACAGTTGCAAAAAATGTGTATGAATAGCTCTGCCTTAAGAAAAAAGCTTGTTTCACGGTTTCCTGTTCTGTCTTCTGGAGAATTCCGTGGCTAAAAAGTACATTTACTGTAAGTTCAAGTTCTGTACTTCAAAGAGTGCTCCACCTGAAAATGAAAACTGAAAATGTGAAAATTTAGGTGAAGTATCTTTTTATTCCACATGTTGTTCTTCCTTGTCAAAACCTGGCACCTACGTTACCCACAATGCAACCCCAACTGCCGACAGTCCGGTCAGAGATCTGTGAGTGTCATGCTAGTAGCAGCTAATGTAGCTAGCCTCAAGCAGAGATGAGCAGCGGGCTACAGAGGTCTGGTGAGATTGCCTCTTTTCAAAATCACACCTCCAAATGTTTGTATTTCCAAACTTTTAGTCTTCCCTAGACCTGTTCCCCTTTTGGTCCATGACAACACGTGATGGAGTAAATCCACTGAACGTCACACTGTGACACCTGACGGTGTAAGAGGGAGGAGAGGGGGGGGGGGGAAGGGATGTATCCTTTACCATCTTGCATGAAAACTGACAAAGAAGAACAAGATGGCACAACAAGTCTATTTTCTCACTGTTGTGAGCTGGCCCCCTCTATAACAGCAGCCAAGTCCAAAACCACTTGGCTCTATGAGTCAACAGCCCAGTGTCAAACTGGCTGGCCTTCTCATGCCTGCATTCCCCCAATGATGCCTAGGGAACTGGTTTTCTGGCCAAGATGTGGTTTTGTGGTTACAGTCAGCCAGGCAGAAGGGAGATGAAAATGATGCCATGTGGACAAGAAGCCTTTTCTTCTTTGTTCTGCTAACATGGCAGAGTGGCTCCAGGTTGGCCTGGGAAGACATTCAGTCCATCTGCCAAACACAATGCAGTCTAGAATTACATTAGACTTGAGGGTCAAAATTAGAATACGAATACAGACACGGTGAAATGTCGTTTTTATGTTGAGTTTAATACTATTTTCTGGCTTTAATGGCTCATGAATAATAGAGGACCATTGCACAGCACCTGCAGAAAGCATGACATTGATTTATGTGCATGTCTGTGTGTTTTTCAGCGTGGGCCAAGGTGGAGCTGACTATGCATGAGGCCGTTGAGGTGTACCTGGGTGACTCGGCTCAGATCCCCTGCCAGTACAGCTTCACTGATGCCGACAATGAGCCCAGCTTTGTGATGATCCAGTGGTTTGTGGTGAGTACTGCTGGACCCATTGCAAAAACTGACACTGCCTGTCTAACTATCCAACCGAGCACATGTATGTAAGGGCCGCCCCCTTAAAGTCAAAAATTTGATTTCATGGTCAGGGAGCATCTGACTTCTTATGTCCTGAATTATTGTCCACAGGAAAAGAGAATTCGAAATAAGAATTGTCAAACTAGGTGAAATAAGGATAAAATACGGCAGGGCAAGGGCTTACTGATTGTAGGTACTGTTGCCTCTGTTCATTTCTGAGAGATGATTTTCATTCATTCCTTGCTTGTGACACTCAAATCTCATAACATTTCACATGATCATGCATGCTTGTCATGTAGTCAAGAGAAATAGATTTTTTTTTTTCAATTTTTCATTGTATGGACCGATTAATCGTAGGTCATGTTGACGGAGCAAGGAGGGAAAAACAAATGAGTGAACTCAGCATGCCTCTGATTCAGATCAGATTCCTTTTAGATTGTCTTCAATACAAAACAGTCCATAAAATCCATATATGTGTAGTGACAACAAACCACCATGATATTCAAGTGAAGAATGTAAATATTAAAATAGGGGTTGAATGATGTGCTTTGGGCAAAAAGAAAGGAAGCTCATAGCCATGTTTTTGTAGTTAATATTCAAAAACTACAATTATTATTAAAATTTGTACTTTATTATCAAAAGTATTATATTATTATTGTCATTGTTATTGTTACTATTCTGATTATTCTGATTATTTTAGTTGTAGTTGTTGTTATAGGCCTTATCCTGTCTATGAATAGTGCCAGGGTTTCCTGCATCATGTTACAGTGGGTGAGTGCTGCATCACCTGAAATAACGAGCTCCTCCACTGACATCAGAAGAAACTATTTATTAATAGAAATTATTAAATGAGCGAGGTGCTTGTATAAACAGTCATCTAATAACTATTGTAATGGCACAGCATAACAAGATCTGGACCCACATGCATGACTCTTAGACTCTTAGTCGATGGAGTAAAAACTATATTCACTGCAGAGGAGGCTGGTCCATAGAGGCAGGAGGCTCCTCCTCTACTTTTGAAAGGCAAGAGGGAGATCAAAGTATAAAAAGATTTATCCGTTGAAATAAACAACTACCAAATCTCAGTATCATTTATAAAATATTTTATCTCTCTTCTTTGGAAAAAAAAATCCTTTGTGGATATTCTGATTAAAATGCTTTTCAACAGCGACACCTGCAGGGCGGGCAGGAGAGTGGTGGCGGGGGGGACAGAGGACAACGGGCTCCTGCTGTCCTCTTTTAGGGCGAGACCTCGTATATCAATTTAATTTATTTCATTTTTATTTTAATGTAGTGCTCATTGATAGAAATAGAAATAAGGAGCCAACTTCTATAGTATAGCATCACCCCGTGGGTTGCTTTTTCCCAATGTTTTGAGTCACCAACCACACCGACACCGAGGCCACAGTTTTGGTTAACGTTTACATAACGGCAACAAGCAGTTCAGGCTGGCTTTGGAAAGGTTTTGAGAAAGACAGTGACTGATTGATGAATGCTGGATTGATAAATACCTGCTGGACACAGGTTTTAACCATCATACCTGTAAGCAAAACTGCCCAACATCAGCCAAACACATGAGCAACAGTTTCCGCTGATTTAACCCTAAACTACTGCATCCTCCCGCAGAGAGCTGCAGGTAACAGCGCACGGATGCGCATCTTCTACGGCGATGGCAGTCAGCAGATGGTGGACAACAACACAGACTACAGCGGCCGCATTGAGGTGACCTCAGACCAGCAGGGAACTCGACTCACCATCCAAGATGTCCAGCTCTACGATGAGAGGGAATTCTTCTGCCAGGTGAACGGGCTGGCTGCCGGGAACGCTGAGGGCAAGACCCACCTCAGAGTGTTTGGTAAGACGGGCTCACAACACGCTTTCTCTGTGTCACACAAAACATTTTTAAAGGAAGACACAAAGTCAAAAGATTGTTTTACGATGTATTTATTAAAAATAATATATTTTCCTGATTCAGCTCCTCCAGAGGCTCCAGTGATCGAGGGTGTCCTTACTGGAATATCAATGACCAATGAGCTTCCATCTAAGGTGAGTCCCTTCAATTGTAGACACTGAGATCAACCAAAACAATAATAATAATGTATACAGTATTTGTATATTGCTGAAATGACCATCTTCAAGATAATAAATATTTGTCAATGTGATTCTCCTTCCAGGTTGCATCATGTGAGGCTCGCAACGGCTTCCCTAAACCCAACATCACATGGTACAGGGACAGCATGCCACTGGTGCCTGCACTAGGACGTAAGTGCAAACAGTAGATGGCCCGTTGTGTCTATCTCAGAGGGTCTGCCATGTAACCCCAGAGTGTTTCCTTTGGTTTAAGTCCAGGCCATTTCTCTTTCAAATCTCAGCGTATTCATGAAAATCTTCTACGCATCTTGATAAGCAAACGGTAAAAATCCCAAAGTATCTCAGAAACGGTAGCAAGGAATTTCCCTGTCCACAGAAAACTGGGATATGTTTAGCCACGCCAGCGGCTTGACTCCAGGGATCGTGATGTCAGTTTGTCAGTCGATCCACCGCTTTGAAACAGACTGGCATTCTGCCAATTCTACTTTTATTTTTAGTGACTGGCTTTGGTTTGGACCAAAGTGAAACAAATATTGCGTAGTTTGCCATGAAATTTGGAACAGGCATTCTTGTTCCCTACATGATGAACGGTCATAACTTTGGTCCCCTAGTCAAATATATGTATATATTTCCATTTAAATATTGATCAAGCATATATTTAATCTGCTATTTGTAAGGGCTGTGGTCCATTGTTACATATCTACATTGTCTTGTCCAGATGTGAACATCTTGATCCTGGTAACCCAGCAGTCCAGTGACTTCTTCTCCGTCCAGAGCACCCTGGAGTACAAGGTGCTTAAGGAGGACAAGGATGCCCGTTTCTCCTGTGAGGTCAGCTTCTTTGTCCCGGGAGCCATCAGGACAGTCGAGTCCAACAGCATCAACATCACTGTTCACTGTGAGTTAACGCTGAGCCTTTTTATACATATGTCGTGTTTGTTACACATCAGTTGTCGACAGCAATTGTCCCCGAATGTAAAGGTAAAATGAGATAATGGCGGCACAAATCTTCCATCTTTGGGACACCCTACCTCATCTTGGTCAGTTAAGTGTTTCCTCTGCTGTGAGATTAAGTGGACCACATAAAGTTACAGCCTCCTCAGATGTTTAGTTACAAATTAAATCTAAATTAATTCATCTAAATTGTATTTAGTGCCCACCTCCCTCGGCTCTCTATGGTCCCTGAAGCAGTAGTTATGGAGAAGAGTTGGCACTGCCAGGTTCATGTCCGTGGCGACAGTATTTGCTTATATGAGACTCCCTTACTCCTTCACTTGTCAGGATAACTACAGCTTCTTTTTAAAGGGCCCTGAGTAGCATTTAAGCGCTAGGACTGGCCAGGCCCCCAGGCTCGCCGAGGTACTGGTACCCTGATTTGTTCGGGTCCTAAGCCGTGACCAATGGGCTATCCTGAACTACTTAAGGTCAATGCCTAATCTTCACCAATCGTCTCTCTCTCAACCAGCTACGCAGGGCAGCTCTTGCCAGGAAATGCAGTAGGATTCATAATTACGCAATTTTGATTCTTTTATTAATCTGTCTGATGTATTAATTGCTGAAATACTCCTTTAAATCTTATTGTCAACAACGCATTTTCTGTCTATCTGTCCATTATGTGTCTGTTGGTCCATTGTTTGAAACGGTTTGTTAGTGATACTGTGGCAGGCAGAGCCAAACCCAGTGAGTGCTGTCAGCGTTATGGAGATGGCCTTGTAGAGAGACTACAGCAGCCCACTGAATACGCCTGCTTAATTTGATTGTGTGTATGTGTGTCCAGACCCCACCACCATGGTGGAGCTGTGGAAGGAGTCGCCCCAGGGCTTGGTCAAAGAGGGGGATACTGTGGAGCTGCGTTGTCAGGGTGATGGCAACCCCCCGCCGTCCTTCATTTTCAACAGAGAACAAGTAAGAATAGGAGGCATTTTCTCACCCCTTAAAGTCCCCAAGAGAGAATGGGTGACACGCAGGAGACATGTAGGGAATGTTTTTGATATGCAGAGCTCACAGGGCCCCCATGTAGACATGAGTGTGCAAGGTCTGTGAAGGCTCTGTCAGCTCTGACCCTGCAGATCCAGGCCGGGGTCTGAGACCGGAGGCCACACTGACGGGGCTCATGGGTAGGACTCATTCCCATGTCAGACACTCATCCATTGTATGTGTTGACAGACACAAAAACTCAGCTGACTGCCTTTTTAATGTTTACTAACTAGGCAGTTGTGGGCATTTGGTTAGCGGTTGTTGTGAACATGACTTGGGAGGTAAAAGCTATTTAAGACATTAAAAGAAAATTGTTTTTTTTAACAATCTAGGTTTTATTTTAATACTTTTTGCCATCATCGAATGTCACAATATTAACTAACTTACTGCTGAAATTTGAAGCAATTGACATTAAAAATCAAAGAAACAATTTAAAGTGATTACTCAAAGTGTAAGTTGTATATGTCAAAAGATTTCTTTGTGTTTCATATACTCACCATAGTTTTACACACTCAGTTTTGCAATGAACAATATAACTTTCATTTTTACTTTCAAGTAAGTGGGTTTTGATAATACGGTTAAACATTTAGGATTTGTTTAGATTCTGTCTGTATCTCACCACTTGTGTTTCTCGACCTAATGGACTCCAATGTAAATCGTGTCTGCTTTTTGTTGCTGGTGTCCTCAGATCTGAGGAGGGAAAGTGCTCAGTAAAAATGTTACCATGGTGGCTGTAACGACGAAAAATAATATTTTATATTCTGTAAACTACATTAACCTCTGACAATCAGATGTCGTCAGCTTTTTACTAACAAAGTTGAAAGCGATGTATCCATGTATGTTTGGGAAACCTGTCATTTTAAACTGGCAACCGAAGCAGGATTCTAAGCTTGCGTTTGATCTCTCACTAAGAGAACTCGGCACCAGTTGGCAGGTCTGATTAGTCACCTGATCTTCACCCACAAACTCTCTTTCTGCCAAATAAAACTAAAGCGACTCAGTCATCTTTTTAATAAAATGCTCAAGTCTGCAACTGTCCCCCACAGGAATAAACTCTGTGACAAACCAGATGCTAATTTCCATTTCTATTTGAAATACAGTATGTCTTCACCCTAAAAGCACACCTGTTGCAAAAAAAGCCAAACAAAGAACGTGCCTTAGACTCTGTCATGACTTTCACATCATCACAGCATGGATCTTGTTTACAAATGAGAGTATTTGTTGCAGGAGCTGGATGTGGACTTGGAGAGCAACCACAGTGATGTGTTGATGCTGTCACCTGTGTCACGGAAAGACAGTGGCATCTACCAGTGTCTCCCCGTGGACACCGATGACTACTCCGAAGTGAAAGGAGAAATGCAGCTCACTGTGCACTGTGAGGAACCATCACACATACACACGAGAAAACATAATCAGAACATATATTTGAAACAGGCTTGGAGACAGAAATGACAAAGACACTTTGAACGGTTCCTCCTGCCTCCAGTCTTTATGTTAAGCTAAACACATTCTGACTCCAGCTCTGTACTTAATGCACTAAGATTGATATCATCTCAATCTCAAAAAGAAAGCGAGTAAATGCATAAGAATGATTCCTTTAATTGAACTCCTTCCTCAAAACCGTGTGTTTCGTCCGTGTTCGGTGTGTTCAGACTTGGACCCAGCTGTGGTCGTTCCTAAAGACTCGGAGTTCATGCTCAAAGGAGAAGATCTGACCGCAACCTGCAACGCTCTGTCTTCCCTTAAAACAGCCACTGTGTGGTATAAGGTACGTACACATGAGACGATATTACAGATTTGTTTAGATGAGATTTAAAATATTGCAGGCACTAAGAAAAGAAAATGTGTAGACTAGCAGAAACCTTGTGAATGTTGCATCATTTATCATATGGAAATGTAATGGAAATCCATCTAATAGTTTCTGAGATATTGTATTCTGTACCAAACTGGCTGACATTGCAATCTTGGAGCCACACCACTGACTGATACACTGATCATAATCAATATCCAGCATCACCGGTCTTCATTCAGTGTGTGTGTGTGTGTGTGTGTGTGTGTGTGTGTGTGTGTGTGTAGGATGGGAAGCAGGTGGGTAAGGGGAACACATTGCACCTGAAGGACGCCGCCTATGAAACAACAGGAGAGTACATATGTGAGGTGACTGTTCCCTCGCTGCCCGCCCTGCACACCAGCGGCTCCGTCCACATCATTGTCCAAGGTCAGTCGTCCCAAACACCAACTTTACCAACTTCTCCTTACTTGTGATGCCAAGGGAAGCTTCCAAGTAACACTCATTTTCGATATGTGGCCATGGTTATTGTCGTAGGTCTTTTTTGGTCATGAAGGGCCTCTGTAGTGACTCTAATTCTGCCAAGAGCTCTGATTTAAAACACGTGCCTCTGTTACTAAAAGGGTCAGTCAGGTTAAGTTTGAATTTGTGTCGATCGTTGAGGCTTGAAATAAAGAATCGCATCAGAGTTATGAGCTTTTTTACAGTTCAAAACTGTACCAGGAAAGAGGAGGATTGTTTCCCTGTAAAGCCACTGGAGGGCTTTTAATATGAAGCATCTGTGCAGGAAGTGTCAAGTTCAATTTGACAGTAGCTTAACATTGAACGAAAAGTGACTGGAATGTATTGGTGAATAAAAAACAGTACTTCTGCTAAAAAAAAAAGCAGCAGCAGAGTGGTCAATATGACTCTGATATTTTATCCTGTTATCCTGAATTTATCAAAATAGGTAAACATGCAGGAAATGTTGAAATTGTATTAAGAGCGAGCAAAACAAGCTTGTAACTAAATATGGACTATACTTATAAATAATGTGTGTGTGTGTGTGTGTGTGTGTGTGTAGGTGGTCCCCAGGTGGTGGGAGAGGAGCAGGAGGTGCAGCTGGAGGAGGCAACAGGTAGGATGGTGAATCTGAGCTGTGAGGCTCAGGGCCATCCGCTGCCCAGCATCTCCTGGAACATCATCGGCAGCCAGGTACCCAGTCTGACTTGCAGCACTAATTCATCGAGCAATGTGCATGCAATGAACTAGCAGATATTTCTTAACGCTGAGTTTGTGCTGGAAAAAAAGGGAAACCATGAACATGCTGCTAAACACAGACAAAAATGATTGTCTAGAGAGTTTAACCAAACTCCTGATTGCTATTATTACAAATAATAATATAATCATAATTTATATATAATTTATACAGCACCTTACAAAGGGCTATAGAATAAAAACAAATAATAAAAATGGATAAAATCCAAACACAAGATAGAATTCAGTCAACAATGGTGGAAATGAAGCTACAACACAATCGGACACAAACAAACAATAGTGGTACGGTTATACTGAAAATCACTAGAAAACAAGATTATTTAAAACGACAAGGAGTAACGAAAGAGACTATTTAAAAGCAAGGTTTTGCAGGTTGACAAGTGAGGTGCCACCGCAGTAATGGCGGCTTGTTTACCTACACCAACCACATCTGAGATTATTGTCTTCACAGTTTCGCTCGTTGTGAGGACCAGCAGTATTTTGGGATTATGTAGAGATAAAAATGTGCATCAACAAAGTGCATTTGTTTGTGTGTGTGTCTCCACAGAACTGGCACGAGGTGGTGAGCAAAGCAAACGAGCACATGACTCACAGCGTGGTGTCAGTCAAAGTCACCTCGGACATCAGCGCTCAGTGCAACGCTTCCAATGACATGGGGACCGAAGTCAAGGCTTTCAGCATCAAAGCCAGTAAGCATTCTTTTTTTTAATATTCTGAAATATGCACTAACATTTGCATTCAAACAGTGTTAGTTTGGAAAATGACTGTTATGTTAAAGGACCATTCTTCATCTTTTAGCACATGTTGGCACATGATGTGCCTTCTGGTTGATTCAGGGAGCTGCGGTGCATTGAAAAGGGATAACATGAAAGAAGAAGAGTGATCTCTACTCTCTCACAGGCTGCATCAGTGATGGAGTTTAAAACTTATTTTGCTTTTGAAGCCTTAGTTAATGACCATCATGAGCACGAGGGTTGCCTATTTCATAATGTCAGACCGTGTACAAGCAAAGATGATAAGTTGGGACTCTCATTTATTCCAATTCGCTCACAAGCCGTATCTAAAGTGTTTTGCTTAATGCTCATACATTAACCACAGTTCACCACACACACTGAGGTTTCAGGCTTGTTTTAAGTACAGTATGTATCTGGTATCAGCTCAACCATCAATCCAGATGTTCACAACCCTTCTGCACATAGCATTCAAAACGGTCTGGACTTCCAACATAACAAAAAATCTTTTTCCCCCCGTGTGATGTAAAACACAACAGGAAAAAGCTCGGTAATTCTGACACCACCATCCATTTTTAGTGTTTGGACATACAGTGTGTGAGAAAATAGGAATTAAATCAGTCCCAACATAAAGCCTCGCCATTGTTGGCTTGTACTTTGTCAGAGTTTATAACACAGGCAGCAGAATATCGGTGCGTCCTTTGCGTTCGTCATGACCATTAATTAATTAAGGCTTCTGCTGCAAAATCCATCAGTGATGCAGCCTGTGAGAGAACAGATAATCACTTTTCAGCCACTCCCCGTCGTGCACCAGCATTGTGATGGAACTGTCATATCTGTATGAAGCCATAAGAAGAATATACATGACGGACACCTACTGTATGTCTAAATGACAGAAAGACATCACAGTTTATAATCCTGTTTCATTTGAAGAATTGGTTAGAGTCCTGAAGTAGTGAAAGTATCCAGTAAGAGATAAACCCCAAATTTAAGATTTGAATGGGCCAGCCGTCTAATAGGATAATATGATGAAAAACTGCAGCTTCCCTGGTTAATGGAGGCAAACAACCACAAGGCGGTAAATCAATTCTTTTTTTAAATAAAATATTTTTTTATTCCTTTTAATCATCTTGTGACTCTTCTGAGGTCCTGACCTCATGGCTGTTTTAGCAGCCAGTGTTATAACCTATTCTGTTACACATGCAGTCTGCTCATGGTATTGTTTGTAATTACTGAAGCAGCTGTGATCAAATAAAATATGAGAAGTGTGTGTGTGTGTGTGTGTGTGTGTGTGTGTGTGTGTGTGTGTGTATTGGTGGGCCCACTCTAAGTGTTGTTCTACTTGTTCACAGTTCCCAGAGTCACGTCAGCTGCTCCCGTCTATCCTGGTAAGATTGTTGCTCTGTAGTCTCTTCTTGTTTCGCTTTTGCTCACTTTCTTCTTCAGCCTTAAGTTCTGTCCGTGACAATGAATGGGTTGGAGGACTCTATGCATTATTTATGACTTTCATGCAGGGACTCTATACCAGGACTGTCTAGTTTGCTGGCAGATCTTTGGGATGGCCTGTGGGCATATTAAATATTCTGTTTGATACAGAGAGAAAAATCATAACACCAGCAAATTCAAGCACGCCAACACCCCTAATGATATTTGGACCAAACGATCTGCAGTGGCAAAATACATTATTTGTACATCCCCGAATTTGTTAAACAAACATAAATAAGTTACGTGTCTCACTTTTACTAACTTTTTCCAGACAGTCTTGTGTTTTATGGTTTGTTTTTTATATACCAGGTGAAATTAAAGTAAATATGTAGAGTGACATTATTATGGGGCAATTTTCTGAATATCTCAGCAGTCGCTTCATGCCATTAAAACCTTCACTTGCCTGTGGGGAATACAATGGGCAAAGAAAGAACATTTCAGAGAGCCACCTCCCACAACCATTAAAAACAACAGTGTAAAATATATATGTGTAGAGTAAAGTGCTGTGTTGCTCCCAGGATATAAATGTTTAGTCGCTCGCTCCTCTAATTGTTTGAGTTTAATAGGGGCCGTATTCTTGCACTGGCCCTCGACATAGAAGCTTCCTACACACCAACTAAACAAGGAGTGGGAGATCTAATTCAAGAATGAATTACATCACTGTTTTATGACACTGAGAACTATTAAAAGAATACACCTTAAATGATTTGAGTCAGTTTCTGTGGATTCAGCATATTCAAAAGGCTGATCTGGATAATTCAATGCATCGAAATATATTATATTGGATATTATCTATATATATTAGTGCAGTTCCTGTTCAAACGGTGCCTGTTCGGAACGGGCCGATTGCTTGGCCTCCGGTGTTGCTATTTCGGCTTTATTGAGAACCGCTCATCCAAACAACTTCACACTCGACTCTGCGCTCCGTTGGGTCCTGAGCAATATACCTGGTGTAATACGGTTACGTCCAGGCGGCAATCTCCGGTTCTAAGCGGGGAAGCGAAGGCCAAATTGGCTTAAACCTGCATTCTTCCTAAAAGCCTGCAGGGGGCGACTCCTCTCGTTAAAAAAAAGTCAGATTGTATAGATATCTATGAGAAGATGACCCTACTTTTCAGAGCCAGAATGCTGATCTCGAGGCTTCGAAACGGCAGTTCACAAACCAATGAGTGTCGTCATAGTGATTACGTCCACTTCTAATATACATTCAGTGGTTGCTTCCCCTAACATTCCTCAGCAATACACCCACCAAGTGTGAAGTCAATCGGATGAACGCTTGTGAAGAAGGACAGACATACAGAGACTCTTTCCACATTAGTTAGATATATTGAAGGGTATGAAACATAGAAAATATCACAAGCTAGTATGGGAATATTTTTTGGGTATTTGCATTGTTAGAAATTTAAAATTATAAAGTTCGATTGAAAATGTATTAAATACACTGAAAATATCACTAAACCCTACCAGATACACCCCATTCCTTATATTATTCTACAGGGCTCAGATATAGTGTAGTAGTTCATGAAACCCAACCTGCAGACTCTAAAGTGTGTAGCCTCTTTGCCTTCTTCCTCTTTTTCTTTTAAAAAACATTCTCAACTTTTCATTCTGGATGAATAAAGTCATCGAAATAATGGTTATTAAAGACTGGGTCACAGATGTTGCACAAAATAAATGACTTTTCTGCAGTGCTGCCACTTTAATAACACAGAAATAAGTAATTTCACGCACAGCTAATTATTTCTCATGAGGAAACGGACTTTGTGTGAACGCTGATATAAACAGAAACTTTATTGGTACACAATGAACTCCGGCAAGTACATAGTATTGCTTTGCTAGATGGACAGATACTAACATGTGAGTGGTCTCTGTGTGTGTGTGTGTGTGTGTGTGTGTGTGTGTGTGTGTGTGCGTGTGTGCGCAGTTCAGGGCAGTGGGCTGATCATAGTGGGGATCATTCTGTCTCTGCTGCTGCTTGCCATCCTCGGCAGCGTTCTCTACTTCCTGCATAAGAAGGGGAAGATCCCCTGTGGACGCTCAGGGAAACAGGAGATGTGAGTACCGTCTCTTCTAAATCTGATGATGATGTCTACAAGTATTATCTGTGTCTGATACTCTGTATAAGTTTGGCGTATCCCTCTTACATACAACCAAAATAATGAGGTCACATTTCACTACATTTCTGGTACTCAAAAGGGATGCTGATGCAGAAATAAATTTAAAACAAACTATCCTAAGAAAAGCTTAAACCTGGGTATAGTAACAGCGTAAACCAATATCACATTTTAAACTTGTGTTAAGTTTGTAATGATACCCAGTCCCTCTGCAGTTACCTGTTTTTGGCATATTCCACATGAGCCAACCGTCCTTTCTGTCAGCAGCACCAAAGAGAAGACCACCAAAGATGACATTGTCGTGGAGATGACGACCAACACAAAGAATGAGGAAGCTGTCCTCCTAAAGGCCGTCAACGGAGACAAAAAGGGCCCTAATGACCAGGTAACTGTTGTGCATGGATGAATGTGATGTTCATTGTTACGAAATGTAAGACTCGAAGCCTAAAGTTTGCTCTGCTTAAGCTTATAAGTTGTGGAACTAAAATGTAAGAGTTGTCCTGAGGGGAGGCGGTAGAGAAAAGCTCATGGAGAGGGAAAAAAAGCGTCATCACGGATGCGAGTCAGGAAATAGAGTTGGACATCCTGCTCTCTGCAACTCCACAGAAGCTGTTTTTAAATTTGGATATGTAAGGCGCATATGGGGTAATAGCACTGGCTTTTGCATCATTTATTTAATGGATATAAATGAACCGGCACCAGCTGCTAGCATGCAGAAAACAAATTCTGATGATACGGAGGATGTCTGGGTGTGATACAGAGACAAGTGTTTGGGATTTTAAGGGATACTCCCATGTTTTTTTTAGTATCATCTCCAGTGCTGTAATGCTGTTTGCTTGTCTGTTAAACGTGACTAATATGGCTGTTATTAGCAGCTATTTAGCAGCTTTAATATGTGACTCGCATATATGTGACTCGCATATTAAGCATTGGTTGTTGTGCATCATAACAATACATGTAGTGTGTCATGTTGCTTCTATAAAAACACAAAAAGTCATTGTGTGTAGAAATTCTATGTGCGTTTAACTCTTTTTCTGATGGCATAATGTGTTAACATCTGGAAAGCGTTCTCCGCGCCTCCATGACTTGTCGAGTAGATTAGTTTTAATCCTTGCGTTCTGGCATTAGCAAAAACAAATCCCTCTCCGCCTCAAAAACTCTGCTGCTCGGATAAGAAACATAACCACATTTTACCGATCCCTGGCTACCTGTTGCTGTTAGAATTATTTTAAGATATTGATTGCTTACAAAGCCCTGAGAGGCCTTGTCTGTCCGGTAAATATGAAGCTAAAGCCAACTAACTTGGCTAAGCACAAAGACTGGTAACAGCTAGCCTGACTCTGTCAGAAAAAGAAACAAAATACACCGACGAGCACCTCGACAGATTAAACGTGTTACACGACGTAACACAAGCTTTAGAGGTGCTGGTGGGTGGATTATGTTACCTTTTAATAAACAGGAATTTCCCTGTAACTGTCGATCACAGCTCATTTGTCATGGTGTGTGTGTGTGTGTGTGTGTGTGTGTGTGTGTGTGTGTGTGTGTGTGTGTGTGTGTGTGTGTGTGTGTGTGTGTGTGTGTGTGTGTGACACTGGTGTCCTCCTCTGTCCCTCCAGTAAAGTCCCTGACGGTTCAGCAGTGATGTTGTGCAGCAGGAGGCAGCACAAATGAAGCCAGCAGTCAGTGTGTGTGTGACACTCCCACTGATCTGAGGCCTGCAGGGTAACACCACCTCACAGTCCGGACATTCCCCCCCATCATGCTTTTGTTCTCAGCAGTATTCAGTAGGTTTACACACATTACACACACCACACACACACACACAGGTATGTATGTACAGATGTGTATTTTCTTTTGAATGAATGTTCGCTGACGTTCATTTGTTTTGTACTATTTTCTCAAACTGTGTTCAGCTCTTGGTTGTTGTTCAGCGTGTTTGTACGATGGTGTCTCATGTGCACCGTCAACTTTTATTTTTTATTTTTATTAAAGTGTATATATATATATATTTTGTTATTTAAGATATTTTGGCACTCACATTTTGTTTCATGTAAGCGTCTGGGTCATGTGCATGTTGATCCGTGTTCATGGCGTCCAGGTGAGTTTTTAGGATGGGACGTGATGTCAGAGACCAAACAGCTGCTCCTCTGAGGCAGCTCTTCACTGATGGTTCACAGTCACACTGAGAGAAGGTTCGCCAGTGTGTTTGCTTCACTTCCATTTTTTAATTGGCACCAGTATTTCTCCAAAACATGACAAACATTAAGGTGTTTCCCTCCCCAGAGTCACTTGAAATGCAGGATAATCATAATAATATCTATGAAAACTGTCAATCAGACACACTGGCAGCCTTCTTTTGCAAACTGCTGTCAAGCACTTGTACTGTTTGTAAATACGTGGTAGTGTACAGACCTGCTAGTGGTGGACTTGGGCTGTAACTGATGGTGAAAAGGTCAAAGGTTAGAGATCTGCTGTGCCTGTTTTTTGAGAATGCATCATACACTGAGTTTGTTTTGTTTCTTTGGTTTGCTCTGTGTGTGTTTTCTGTGTGTTTCCACTGAGAGCTCGTTGGGCCTGAAGAAGTGTTGTCGCGTTGGTGCGTGTTTCATGTGTTTACTACAGATGACCCTTACAGTACTGCTGACCGTTCTGCAAAGCAGGCCGCACGTTTTGAGCTGTTGGACCTTCCAGGCAGCACAACGTTTTTGTCCAGTTTGAGAATCAACTGGTAGACACTTAGAACTTGCTTTGCTTAGATCCTCCATCACAAGGAACAGTTAGTTTTATTCCATCCATGGTCTGCTCTGCATGACTCATGAATCTTTAACAGTAAAAGTAGACATGGACGTTCCTCTCTGTGATGGGTTACTGAACGTATTCAGCAAGTTTCAAGGTGTTCTTTAAACTCGTGATCTGAATGTGAAGCTGTGGAAGCTAGAAACTTATCTGCAGCTCTCCCAAGTTTCTAATGTATTATCATGACATTCAAGGTTTTCGTTTGGAAAAAGAGAAGTTGTTTATCGCTTATTGTTGTTTTGAAGGTGTATCCAGAATCCTTAAAAACTCTTCTGAACATCAAGATCAACAAAATATTCTATTCTATCACCTTATTCTTCATCGTATGTGTTTTTTTGTTGTTGTCCTGTAGTCGCTACTGCTCCTGGGGTCCACACACAAAAGTATTAAAATAATTTTAAATAACTCAACATATAAAAAGGTACAAAATAGAACTAAAAAGAAAATAAAAACAATCAAAAAACGATTTAAAAACAGAAGTTATATCTAATTAAGATTCATGCTATTTTCATACACAATAGGTTTCTTTTTTTTTTTGGCATTGTACAAATTAAGCAACGCAATATGTCATTTCTGGATGCTTTTTTTGGGTGAAAAATCTTGGAAACAGTGGTTAAAAACATTTTATATTTTAGCCAGAGGGGGGAAAAAAATAGTTTAAAAATTGTTGAAATACTTTCTGAGCAGCAGTGAGTGTTTCAAAGATCATCGGGGATTTATTACTCAGCCAAATGGGCATTTGAATGTCATGATAACGGATGAGAGGCACAAACTGGAGGTAATCTACAGTAAAATGATCGCTCTGCCTGATTTATAGTAAATCATCTGAAACCTGCAACAACACTGGAATGCGTCTGCAGTGGCCCCTGTTGTAAATATGATGTACTGATTGCTCACCGTGTAGGTTTGTTTTGTGAAAAGAGACATTTTGTTGCAGCGTGCTACATTTTGCCCAGATGACTTGCAACGTCAACAAAGTAATGATGTCTTTTGGGTTCCTCACTGAGTTGAGGTAGTTGTAGAAATGTCTGGGAACAGGAAGTCCTCAGGCAAGAAGTGTGCAGTGCGATGCGGTCATTGTGGTTTAGAGAAGCTGCACGAAGCCATAACACCAACCGTGTGCAGTCAAACATTCGCGATTAGATCTGTAAATCTGCACCTCGTCTTTTTAGTTTAATACAACTTTAAACACATTTTGGGGATTTTTCAACTAAGGGAAAACATTAGAAAGTGAACATTGCAATTATGTTTTCTTTTTCTAAATGTGTGTAAATTAAGTACTGTACATGTGATTCTTTGATGCTTGCAGTTTTTTTAAAATATTTTTTGCAAGAAAACAATGCCAAATAAAAGGGTTTCATTTTAAAGAGACTGTTTTGTATCGTTGTTTTTCCAGAGGAATGAGAGTACTTTTCAAAATGAACCACAACAATAGTGAGTTCAGTGTGCTCTGTGTTAGCGCTGCACGAGACGGGAAGGAGCGCCGCCTCCAGACCGCTGTCAGCGCGAGCTGGAAATGACTCCAACAGTAGCTCAGATTTCCAGCTAGAGTCTGGAGGGACAGAAAACAGCTCACAGCTCACATCTGCAACCAATTCAAGCGCCCTTAGTGTAAAGCGGATAACTTTCAAACAATACTAACAAGCCAAAGTGATGGAACTACTTGCTTTTATTTTGAAGCGCTCTACATTTACGCATACACGCCTTGGATGGGGATCGAACCGCCAACCCTGCAATTAGTGGCCAACCTGCTTTACGTCTACTGTGTTTTGACAGCCTCTATAGTTCATAGCCTTATAAATAGCTCTCTGAGGCCATACTGAGGCACAGACAGCGGTGCTTTAAGCTAAACTGATTTGCTGGAGTTTAGCAGGAATGCTGTTTTCCACGTTCACCACTTTAAATTTACCCTGTTAGCATGCTAACGTGTGCTAATTAGCACTAACAAAGTACAACTGAGGCTGAAATTACAGTTTACCAGGAATTTTCTCATAAACCAGAGTATTGGACAAATGAACATTTTGACCTTAAGTTGGCGTTGGATGAAAAGCCAGAGGATCACAAAAGTTATCCATCAACTTGCTTTACTATTAAAAATTAACCTGATTAATTAATAAACTGAGAAAACTAAGCATCCAAGACATGCATCTAATAATATTTAAATATAGATAATTTGGCAGACAAACTGATCTCTTATTATGAGACAAATAAGTTTACCTCTCAGTTAAGTGTTTAGTTGTAAGGAATTTGTGCAGTGAGTTCCTCTGAGACCTAAAACAGCCTGTAGTGATTATGGACAAACCACACACATCAGATGTTAAAGAAAATACTGTTTAATTAAAAATCTTAATGGCTTAGGCATGAAAACATGGCAACACAACAAATGCTGAGGATATTAAAAAGACAATAAATAAAATCATATTTACAAAGGAAACAAATGAAGACAACTTTTTAGTCGGCAAGTTCTTGTTGAAAATGTTAGTTACCATGATGACATCACACATCACTGTTGACCAGTGACTCGGAGGGAAAGTGCGTGTGAGACAGTGATTCAACAGAAGTGTATCCTCACAGCGGCACTTTCATGGTCAGGAGTTAGTCCCCGTTAGATCGAGTGAACACAAAGCGACACATTCTCTGTAGATCAACGCGAGCCGAGGGGGCAGCATGCTGCTTTTGAGATGCTTTTGGTTTGGGGCAAAAATATTAAAGCTGCACGATTTCCGTGGAATCAACGAGACCGAAGTCTCGGATTCACCAAACCAAATCAATGTACAGTTTTTGCTAATTTTACATACTGCCCATTTGTTTTACACCAATGGGCAGTATGTTTCCTCACTACTTTAATCACATCAAGCATACTTCTGTTTCCAAGAGCCTGAAGACTGGCTTCTACAGCCATGTCGACATTTTTCAAACCTATTTTAGGTATAAAATGAAAATCTGCAGTCTTTCAAATATGCCAGTATCAACTAGAGGTGGAAGATCCCACAATATCTGGTTTCAATCAGACACTTGTTATTGTTAAAAGCAGCTAATATGCTAACATGTAAGAGAGAAATGTCATGATTTATTAGGTATGTGCATTATTAATGAGCTACTACCGCAAAATAATTGTGCAACACGCAAGGCATTTCATTTTACTATTCTCTGTTGGTGACTTCATCACATGCATGTTTGAACGAAAGAGTTTTTAATACAAACTGAAGTTATCGCTGCACACAACAGCAGCAGAGGTGCAAATATCGCAGCACGAAGAAAAGTGTTCATGTGAAAATATGATGGATCTTTTGGAATGAACTTTTGATGCGAGTATTGTTACTCAAAACAAGACTTTGTATCGGTATCCGCCCACCCTTGGTATCAACTTTCAAGTCTGCAGTACAGAAACTGAAGTACGGTTGCACATTGCATTCATTAAGTAAAAATAAATAAATGGCAGTTTGTTATTATAGCATAGAATACATTAGAACTTGTAAATAGTACCTCATAATTGCAAGAAACTTAAGTCATACAAAGCAAGAGATGCGCTTTATTTAGTTTTTTACTATGAATGCAGCGCACGACCGTTTCGCCATTACATAGCTTGTCCACCAGGGAACATTAAAGGTTTATTTTTCAGCTGTAAGATGTTCAACTTAGTAGATATCTTGGTTCCAAATCCATAACTATTGTATTCATGAACTCTCGGATATACATTTCTGTATTGATAGAGCTCAGATTATCCATTGTGGATATCTCCAAACTCTTTATATTCTGTGATTGAATGTGAATAAATGAGACAAACTGTCTGGAATAAAAGGCTCCAACTAAGAAGAGAAGAGGTGTAGATTTAAGTGACAGGGACTGTTTGTCTGCTGCTGGCATGTGCAGGTTGCGATTGACAGAAGGCACATTAACGTGTTACTGCAGAAATCAGAAGTGACAACTGAAAATCTATTTTTGGGAGAGGAAAAATAAAAGGAGGAAACTGTACTTGTGCAAAACGCTTCCGACATATCGTCTGTGTTTGAATTGTGAAAGTGGACTCTTATCTTGTTTCTGGCAGTGACTGGTTATTAATAGGTGGAGCCTGCAGACATGCACACAATGACAACACTGATGTTTGATAATGTTAACCATGTGAATTACTATCAATTAATCTTTTGGTCTAAATTTGTGGAAAATGTCCATTTAAAATGTCCTAAAGCCCAAGTTGGTGTCTTCAGAGTGCTAGTTTTTTTCCAATCAACACTTCAAAACCCCCCAAATTATCGAGTCACTATCCCATAAGACAAAAATAAAACCACAAAATCCTTACAACTGAGGTGCTGGAGCTTTTGATATTTTCACAATATCAAAAATAATTGCAGGTACATTTTTCTGTCAATCATGTAATCTAATATCTTTGTACCGTGGCATTGCAACAGTGATCTTTAAACTCTAATGTCGGTAAGGTAACGATAAGCAGGAAAATCCAATCATTGGAATGTTTCTGTAATAATGTGTCATTAGTGAATGCTCGTCCACAAACACGGCCAACATTACATAATGTCTGCTTCAGCGTCTGTTCGTTACATTCTACCCTGGCGTGTTACCGAGTGCCTGAGTCCTCATGACCACCGTCTGTGTTTTTGCTTTAGGGCTCCATGTATATCCCTCCATCATCTGATTCCTCAGCTGTCTGTACATAATGTGAGCTTAATCACATCAACATGTGAGAGGAAAGCTAACGGGACACGATAAAGGGATAGTTCACATTTTTAGAAGTGGGTTTGCATGAGGCACTTGTTTTCATTGTATTACCTACAGTACGGAGGAGCAAATAGGAGTAACGGCACAGGAGCAAAGCAATGCACCGCTGTGGCAAAATGTTTAGCCGCCGACAACAACCTATACCGGTTAAAGTGTACGCTATCTTTAGAGTATGTTCACCGCTTTACCTTCAGACAACAGCCCTTTGAGACAGGGACCTGAAGCCATTCTCTATGCTCTCATCTTACCTCTCAGAACAAACGAGTTTGTGGTCTACCGCTGCCTCGCTCGGTTGGTTAGTTTGTGTAATTGTGTGACTTTGGTGTTTTAAAGGGTTGTTTCGGATTTACAAAAGTCACACAATAACACAAAAACTAACCAAAGGAGGCGGCGGTAGACCAGCAACTCCTGTGTTTTGCAAGATAACACAGACAATGACTGTTTTTGTCAATGGAGTCTAGTAGCTCTGAAGAGAGCATATATAACATCAAGTAAAGCAGTGAAAACTCTCGAAATAATTGATATTGTGGCTAAAATATGTTTAGCTGCTGAGCTCGTCCTCAGTAGTACATTACTTTGCTCCTGTGCCGTTACTCCCGTTTGTTTCTCCCAACTGGGGGCAAAATGATCGATTATGGATAAGTACCTCATACGTCCCCCCACTTCAAACTATCTGAACTATCCCTTTAAAGTCCTTTTGCTTGTTAGTAAGACACCATGAGATTAAACAGAAGCGTTACAGTAAATAGACCAGCCTTCGGTGGCAGGCAATCATGGAATTAAATGACAAACTAGACTCCTGAAAATCCAGCCAGTTAGTACTACACTCAGCACAACAATTTATGAGAGTACTTAAACATTAAATCTTGTTATTTCATTATAGAACCATTATTGAACCGTGAGCTGAGAGGAAATATGGAGTCAAGTTCAAGTGGTCAAATACCATCGAAACAAAATACGGAGCGAGGCCACAGCGACGCGTACGAAACGAAGCCCTGCAATACTGCACTGCGACTAAACATTCACATTCATCAGCATTGAGCACACACACACACACACACACACACACACACACACACACACACACACAACAGCGTTAATCACAAATTTTCCGACAGAACTAGCGTCGCTACATATTCGTACGCCACAAAATTTGCCAAGAAGCCCGTAAAAAGCACCAAAACCGAACGGGAACCGAGTCAGAAGCGACTATCCGCGGGGTCCTTCTACTGATCACTGTAGCTTCAAACACTTAGCGTAATGAGAGAAGGTACTCTGGACTGAGGGGGGGAAACGATGCCACAGCACGAGTGGACCTCAGCGAAGTACAACGGGGTCAGAACTTGGCTACAGAGAGCTCACATTAAAAAGGCTTCCATTCTCCGTGTATGCTGCGTTCAGGTCATATCGGACTCGACTGAGCTGCTTCGTGAACCCAAACTGGACTGACCAACGGATACTTCTGTTCAAGGGAGCCAAAAAAACCTCAATCGTCAAGTGGCGATTACGAGTAAACAAGAGATTTTAAGGGCTTCAATGTCAAAACAATTGGCATTGGCATAACAGTAGTCCAAGATAATTAAAATAATACATTTTAACACAAAACTCCACTTAGAAAAGCAAGTAATACCTGCCGCAGAAATGACTTTGGGTCTTTTCAAAGACTACAACTTGCAGATAATGTCTTCTGATATAACGTGAACGCAGCTACTTTACTTCACTCTTCAGAGTAAAGTACTTGTGGCCCTGCAGGAAAGTGCTTGGTAAATGCTATCCATGATAATGGCACAGAGTGAGACAGAGACGAGACAGAGATAGAGATAGAGAGGGGGGTGTGCCTGCAGCGACTATGTGGCGATGGAGACAAACTCTCGCAGGATGTTCTTGGCCGTCTCCAGGTTGTTCTGGGCGATCAGCAGGGCTTTCTGGATGTCCTGAATGGAGTAGCCCTGGGACACCAAGCATTCAATCTCCCCGTTTAAGGTCTGGCTTCCAGGAGGAGGAGGAGGAGAGGAGGAAGCAGAGGAGGGACCGGGGAGGTCCGGCAATGGAGCAGGAAATTCCCGGTTTACAGGCCGAGGCCGCCGGTCGGAGTTGGCTCGCCGTGGGAGAGGTTTGGGGGGACGTTCAGGTTCGGCTCCTGCTGCAAACATACCTAGAAATACACAGGTGAGTAGGCAACGGTCAGTAAGAGTGGGGGAAAAGTACCTGAGGGAATACCAGGTTTTGGGGGGTCAGAGAAGTGAAAACAGATGGATAATACTCCTCAGTCGATTGTAGATTTATTCTAATACCAATCTCAGACGGATAAGCCTTATGTTTTATATTACCGCCATATTTCTGGGGTTCCGGTGTAGTCAGCGAATATCCGTCGTGCGCTGCACATTGTTCAGTCTGATTAGCAAAGTGTACGACCGAATTGATCACATTTTAAACAAATAAAAAATATTTTATCATCGTTAGAACCGGTGGATTCTGGGGTTGCATTTTGGCAACTGCGTCCCGCCTCTTTTGTTCTCCACACAGGTTGTTTTACATTCAACCAAAGCCTGCTTGAATGTGATTGGTCAAGACTACTCGGATGACAAACAGAAACCAGAACGCTTCAGATACCGACAACATCTTGTCCCGTTAGCATGGATCACACTATGATGGGGGTTGTAATAATGATGGCTGGCTACAAACTTTATCCAAAAGACAGAACAACAACCGTAAAGAACATTTAAATATGTTTTGCCTCAGCAGCCAGACACTTGGTGGCATTCTACCTTAAAACAGCAGATAAAAAGCGAAAAACAATTTGTAGAAATACATACTGGCGTCTACTGCACTGTCGATGCCGAGACTGCTGAAGGCCGCTGAGGGACCGCCCATATCCGACATGGTTCTTCTGGTGGGGGCGAGAGGGAGGACCGGTCTGGGACAGTCGTACTCGTAAATATCCTCCTCAATGATCTCCTCCTCCTTGTCCTGGGGAGCCACAGCTGTATGTTGAGGTTGGTCTGAAAAACAAACGCCTGTAGTCAATATTACAACACACAGCTCACATACGGAGCGGCCAGAACAAAAGTAATGTCATATAATGGCTATAACTGGGTGTGAGTGTTACCCAGTTCAGAGGCCTGTGCCGTGTCACAGGAACCAGCCTGGGCCTGGATGTTACACATGGACTCATAGACTATGGGCTCCTCGGAGTCACTGTTGGCCACCTCGCTGCTGAGACGAGGGGAGAGAGAATCAAATAACAATTTGGAACCCTACTAGTGGTCACTTTATGTGCAGTAAAAAAAGTAAAACAAAAAAATATTAAGAGCAACTTGACCAGAATAAAGCATTTAAGTCTATAAAACATTCATCACAGGTCTGAACACATATGATTAGGGATGTATTTGACTTTTAGCCTCGCACCGTAACATACAGCTCACTAGTTCTATCTTTTCAGAAGCTTCTCTATTCATTCTTCCTCTCCTGTACTTTAGGACTCTTTCATCACTTCATCAACGCAACAAGCGTGCGTTACATCGCTGCCTTGTTGTCACACATTGCGTCATCCCCTTTAAATTATTCAAACAAAGGAGGTGAAACACAGCAAATAAGTGGGAGGGAGGTATTTGTGGGTTTAGGACTGGGACCTCCATGGGCAAACAAAACTGAGGCTCCAGAGCCCTCTGGTGGACCAAAACAAAAAGACTCCAGATACATTATTGCAGCATTTACTCCGGTTTTACTTATTGCGGCTAAACCTGCGCACAAAAAAGACTTTAAGGCAACATTTATACTTGGCCAGGTGGATAATTACAATCAGACAAAAAAAGGCCAAACTGCACTGAGCTGCAAAACCTTATGGGCATGTTAGTGCTGTTATATCATCATATCAGGATAATGAATGGACCCAGGGAGCATTTGCATCACCGCTGGTTCTCCTGTCTACCTGATGTCGTTGTGGTGGTTCGCCTGGACCGGAGGCGGGGGCACCAAGGAGCCCGTTATGACCCAGGAGGCCCCAGCAGCAGGGAGAGAGGTGGGACTCATGTACTCATTCTCCTCACAGTCAGACAACGGCTTCTCCCCACCCGACGCCGCCGACGCTGGCACAGATCTGATCAAATACAGACAACACAAAGCGTGGTGAGATTTTGAACGGGTAATAACTTTTGCAATAACGTAGGAAAGAGACGTGTGGCATAGTTGTGGGTGATACTTGCATCGTTCCTATTTCATGTAAATGTCTTCTGTATTCCAGCATCGTGTACTTAAAAGTCCAAACAGGGTGAACTTGCTTGTAATATGCCAGCAGGGTGCACATCATGCTTTATATTTAAGAGGATCTGACTCACTTAACTTCCTCACATATCTTTCCAGCGACATGCCTAGGGTGGGACTTAAAATGGAAATATACTTAAGACAGGAACTACATATCCATCTCACAGCAGCAGAGCTCGGTACCTTGCAGCCAAGCAGTAGACGGCGTTCGTAGCTGCCTGGGGTTTGCTTCCCTCCCCACTGGTTCCGTTGTTCTGAGGGGTGGAGGACAAGGCTGGCAGGGCCTTGGTTGCCGGACGCGGGACCATGTAGTTGGAAGCCCAGGCGGCCTGGTCCGGGGTGGAGGGCAGCGGCCTCCTCTGGAGTCTGGAGTCCTGGCCGACAAGTGAGGGGCGCTCCGGAGGGGGGGGGAGGGGGCAGCTCTCTCAGGGCTGGAGGCAGAGGTAGAGGCTTGTCTCTGTGAGTGGCCGGCATCTGCAGTGGAGGTAGTGGGTCGACGGCGGTGTTGTCAACTGGCAGTAGATTAGATGTTTTGTCTCTCTGTTAAACTCACACACACTTACCTTGGCTGTGGCTCCCTGAGTCTGTGCGCTGTGGGAGCTGGAGGGTCTCTGCTGCAGGAGGTCCAGCCTGGGGGGCACTGGAGGCAGCTGAGACACTGGAGAGGGCGGGCGCTCTACCTACACACATGCACACACATCTACATTTAGAGAAGTTAAATTGCACTGCTACAATCTAAACAAATACAATAAAGACAGTTCTATAACCTTATCTTAGTCAGCAGTGACTAAAATGAGCCCACATGGATTCCTGAGACTAAATCCGGTGAGCGTCTGCTGATTGGATGTCTGTGGATCATAACGTGTGTGTGTGTGTGTGATCCTCTTACCTTGGTGCAGGCCAGCCTGCTCATAACAAGGTGGTCCTCCAGGCGATCATCGTCTTCCTCGTCGTTGCAGGCAGCTTCTGCTCTGCTGGAACCCTGAAAACCAGCAAAGGAAGCCCCGCTGGCCTTTGGATGGAACGGGTCCACCACGATGGGCTCTGTACCTTTGATCTCACAGCGGCAAAACGGGCAGCCTTGACCCTCCGACTCCTGAGACACACAAGAAGCAAAGTTTAAAAAGTGAGACCGTTGTCAGATATGACACCCTTAGCTTTTGCTCACACACACACAAATGACAGCTTTAAGCATCTCTCTAACTGAGCAAGAACCCATAGGAAGATACAGGGAAGTTGAAGTCTACCCATGAGCCACAGCAAGATAGACTAAAGCAGCTCAACATTGAAAAATGTCGAATCCCTCTGAATTAACAAATTAGTAACCTTCGTCACCAGTGCTTCTACCTGTTTGCCACGCCATGCATAGTCTCACATAGCTAACACTGATCAGGTAATCAGTTTCCTCCTGAATCACAGGTGTAAGGGGGCGTGGCCTGGACAACAAAGGGAAGTGAATTGTTTGGGGTGAGGAGAAAGAGAATGCTTTCTGAGGTAGACGGAGGAGTCCTGTAGCCTTCAGTCGAGAGTGGAAAAAGCATTTAGCTCCCGTTAATGGTTGCACCTCGTCCCTGTGATGTGAACAAGTAACTGTGATTTGAGGACCAAAACTACTGAGCAGAGGACTGGAAATCAAACTAAAGCCGGATTACCAATTCCTAATCCTACGCCTGGTAAGTTTTTTTTTTTTTTTTTTTTTTTTTAAATATATATTCAATTTTAGCTTTTTGAACATTTTGGATGACTTGGGACAGTCTAGCAGAACTCTGACGGCACCTTAAATTACATTTATATAACTCGCAACAAAACAACAAAGCCCTAGTTGTCGGGGAATTTCCACAGCAACAATCATGTCCTACTAATACACAAATTTTACAATAATTACTTCCTATAAATTGTCAATTACTTATTTGACTTACTTAGCAATTGTGAATGAAAAACTTCAAACTTCTAGATGTTTTAAATGTAAATGGATTATGCCCTTTGAGCAGCTGGAAGGCTTTTATTGTGAAACGTGTGCAGGAAGTGGTGAGTCTCATTGACGCTAGCTTAACAGCCATCAAAACAAATGGCAATGAGGAAGCTAATGGTGATACATATGCATCAAAACAGCGTTTCTGTTGAAGAAGATACAATGGTATCAGTTGCCTGTTGGAAACTGCTGTCTCATAGCAAAGTAAACCGTCAAATATTATAAATATAGCGTACACTTACACCGATTTATTTTCTACGTTGCTTTGCTGTTGTGCATTGACTCTTATCTGCTTCTCAGAACTAGGGGGCGTGTCATTTACTGGAGGTAATACAGTGAGTATGGATAAGCGCCTCTTAGAACAACACTTCAAAACACCAGAACTATCCCTTTTAAGCCTGGTTCTCCCTGCAGTTGAGGTAAATAAGTGCCACTGTTGAAGAATTTATGTTCATCAAAAAAGGCCAGAGAGCCAAAAAGAATCGTAGCAAGACCGGATCGAACACGGAGCTTGGTTTAAATAAATGTTCACAGCAGTTAGAAAGAGACTTTCCTTCAGACTGACGGGATTTACAGAGCTGCAAGAAAACAGTGTAATAAAATATCATAGCCTCACCTGCCACGCAGTGAGACAGGAGGTGCACATCAGGTGTCTGCAGGGCTCGATCTTCACATCCTTGTCGTTCTCTGCACAGATCTTGCAGAGCTGGAAGGTGGAGCCCATCTCACAGTACAGCTCATACTGCTCCTGCAGGGATTAAGGGGGAAGAGACATATTGATACTTGTTCATATTGAAGATGGTAGTTGACACTTACTCGTCAAACCGTTCTCAACCTAGAGTGTTTAACTCATTCATTGTTACTGGGCTCTATATTGCAGCATAACATGGAGACACTGATGTGCCTTGTGCATCTTTTGCAGTGGGACTACTGCACTTGTAGTGTCCTGAGTGACTGGTTTACAGATGATAAACAAACGAACCTGAGTAACTTTGATGTGGTCCTGTGGAGAAGGTTCACACAGCCCTGTTAGGTCTGGGTTCTGTGCGCGACCATCAGGGAACAGGTAGCTGGAGATCCACCGCAAACACAAACACGCATGATGATTAGTCATAATTCTCTGTGCATTCGTCACTACGAGAGGATCCCTTTCCCCTTATTTTTCATTTTAAATATTGATGGGCGGTAAAATCAAGTATCCCTGTCTCAGCTGAATGGTGTTTGAATGCATTTAAACTGCAGTTCCTCTCACTGACATTAGATGTTGGCTTCCAAACACTCCTACAGTACCTCATATTTTGTGTTGCACTCCTAAATATTTAGTAACTTTTTTTGTAAAGTGATGATTGTTTGCCACATATCGAAGATATGTCGAAGATATCGAAGATATGCCACATGTCGAAGATATGTGGCATATACGTTTTCTTTACAGCCGCGTTTCATGGCCACAGTGGAGGAAGGTTTGATACTTTTTAAAGATATATTTTCCGTGGAGCATTCTTTGCATGCTATAATAAACGACTACAAGGAAAAAAGGTTATTTTACTCATTGTTGAAGCTCTATGTGCTGACTTTTTGTAATGTTACTTCTGCCTTTAGCTTCAGACCCTTCAGCATCCACTGTTGTGATCTTTGGCCTAGTGGATCGTACAGTGAAGTGAAACTGTAGAGCTGCACTGGGAGTTGATGACTTTAAACCCTTATTGTGTAAAGTCATCAATAGTGCACCAGACTCAACCCAAAGTCTGGCCGTCTGTCCCTGTTTGTACCCGGTTATCAGAGAGATTCAATCATCTCTAGCATTGATACCCTACTTTGTTATTTGAGTTGCATTCAGCAATCCAAAAAAACAGTTTTTAAACAAGATATTAACACAATAGAAGACTATAACATGCCTTCAATACGCTGACTAAAAGAGCTACTCTGGAGTCATTGTGGCAATCTCTAATCTTTTCTCTAATCCCTAGAGGCATGTATAACTCAATGTACCCTAAAATGTATAAATTGGTGCATTGACACTGTGTTGCAGGGGGACTCACAATCCCTCTCTGTATCCATCAATGAGGGCCTGAAAGAGCGGTTTGTTATGGGGGATGGTCTGCAGGATGTTCCCGTCAGCTGTCACGTAGCCGATAGCCCACTGGCCCAGCCGGGTGCAGCTCAGCCTGAAGATGTAGCTGAGAGAGGAGACACAAATCTCAAACAAGCGTGTTGCAGCAACATGTTTAACGCGGTTACCTATACTTTGATTCTTCACCTATCCCTCTTTAGACTTATCTTAAAAACACGAGGAAGCATGGTCCGCGTCATTCTAAAGGTTTGTGTGTGTGTGTGTGTGTCTCACCTGCCGGGTTTGTGGATGAACCTGTGCAGTCGAGCCTTGACCTCGTCGTAGGTTAGGAAGGCCATGTAACCCGGGTGTGTGACTGCCAGACTGTTCCAGTTCCTTAAAAGAGACGACCACGGCTACAACACACACACACACACACACACACACAAATAATTCATGAAGATTCATACAGATTCCAACTGTTTCAATGGTGCTGGTATGACAAGTGTAGCCTTATTCTTTCAGCTGAACCCCCAGCAGTGTAAAATAGATTTGGAAGCAAATTAAAAAGGCTTACTTTTATATCCTATAATCCACCACAGCATAAAAGTACCCAAAGCAAAGTACGCAAGGCAATGCATTACACTGTAAGCGCATGACTACAACACGCAGCACAGCGACACGCGGCTCAAGAAGCTGTCGCACATAAGTGAATCCAGGAAAAGAGAAGATAAACTGGGTCCATCTTTTCTCAATAAATGCTGACTTCTGGATTTTAAAACACATTGAAGTTATTGGAGATGTTTGGACAATGTTATCGTCAAACTATTTGGTACCGCCCCATGTGAAAGAGAGCCCACTTAGCGCTTTGAATCATGTTCTTAAATCGATTTCATAGTTGCAGCTGAAAGAATAAGGCTAGATGTTGTCATGCACGCTATAAGAATAACGGAACGGAACGGAATACACACATGTAGTCAGATCTATCCGGCCACCTTTAATAATTTATCTATAAAAATACACTAATGCAATTTCCATAATGGAACAATCCCCCAGATCAATGATCGATAATCATCTAAGGCCACGAGTGAGCTCTTAGATCAGACTCACAGGAGACATTAACCTTTAATAATCAAGGACTGCTGATGTTTTCTTGATCGATAAGATAATCAATTTCTGCAGCACAGCAGCCTCTGAACTGAGTGAAGGCCTCTAAATGTTAAAGCTTTAAACTAAAACGTGACTCATAACTCAAGACAGTGCTTCACTGAATAACTACATGGATCTGCCGATACCGTAACGTCCCCCAGAACGCTCTTGTTGTCACGAGTCGTACCTGGAAGAGCCTGGTGAAGATGTCGAACTCAAAGACGGAGATGTAGTCGTTGCACGTGAGGTCGATGGTGGACTTGAGAGCCATGGCCTCCAAGCCCGAGCTGATTGGGTGAAACTCGTGGAGAGCCTGACGAAACGTCCTCCACGGCACTATGGTCCTGCAGTACACGGGAGGGGAGGGGGGGCAGAAAGTTAAAGGGTTTGTAGGAATCTAACATTTATCATCGCTTTTTTTCAACCTAAAGTAAAAACTCACTTGTCCCCAAATGACCGTCTCCAAAATTCTGCAGCATCAGCTTTGGTGATCCTGAAGTTGTCTCCCTGAAATAAGCCATTGGGGAAGATGGCTTTTAGCTCGGCAAGCATGTGACTGAAGATCAGAGACAGCTTGGTGAGGTTTCGCCTGAGTACCAACAAAAAAAGCAGATACAAGTTAGTCAGGGATATTATCCGACTAAGTTCTAATATTTGTCCAAATTCATATAACAAGATGGAAAGATTACAGCCATTCAACAACCATGTATGAATGTGCTTATCTATTAGTAAACAAGGCAAATCACACATGTATTTACAGGCTTTATTATTCTTTCCACTCCCGCTGAACGCTTTCTAGTGACAAGGAACTTTCCCATAATTCCGCGTACAAAGATGTCAGTGAAACTTTGAAATGTTCAGCTTTATTAGGGTATGCAAGCTTAAAATCTTTAATACGCTGCAAAATATTCCACTTTTTCTACTTTTAAAATGGGTGTAACGTTCAAACCTAGCCCTTTTGTAAAACAAACTTTTAAAAAAATGTATCTTTATGGTTCATAAACAAACGGCTATTTCTGTAATGAGCCACTATTTTTCAGCTAAAGGGCACCCACTCTTTAGAGGATGGAGTAGCGTGAGCGCTCACACCTGTTGAGGGGGAGGACAGGAAGTAAGTCCTTTGAGACAGGACTGTACTTGGTAAATCCCCGTGACCGATACTTTTGCTAACCGTCACAATAGTTGTTGATGCAGAGCATCGATGAGGAAATGCTTAATCAACAAATCTGAGTGCGTCAGAGGAAGGATGAACTTTCGCTTAGTGATGACTTTCTGAGAAACGGGAAGTGGATCTGATTGCGACAGTTTAATCAGATCTTCATGCTTCATTTGGGTGATTTTTTTTTTTTCTTTTTTTATTTATTTTTTTTTTTTTATTTTTTACTTCAGATCACGTGGCTGCTGTGCTTCTGCCAAAATGACATAAGTTGGATTTCATCACAGTGATGGAAAGTCTAAAAATGGAGTGTGGAGAAAGTTCTTACATGATCCTATCATCCGAGAAGATTAATGGCTGCTTACCAAATGAGGCCACTGCAATCTAAATGAATTACTTTCATATGTTTTTCAAAGTCGTGAGGGAACAACACCGTAACAGACAAGAGGGCTCACTGGAAAAAGTTTGCTTCTTCCTTGTATGAATACTGCAGACGAAAGCATTAGCATGAAACTTCCTATTCTAAATCAGGAAATACTACGTGCAATTTTTTACTGTGCAGCCGTGTAATATGTAATGAATTAACTTTTTAGATTAGATAGAGGTAGCATCAGTCAGCAGAAGTTCTGCTAGTTGGGGCAGTTTTATACCATCGTGATCTTCAGGGCTCGTTTTATGGATACGGAACTAATTTAAACGATGATAAGCCTGAAATGCAACACCCGTCAATTACCCAAACACACTTCATCACGTGACATTTCATCAGGATATATAAGCCAACCTGGGCTGGGAGTTCTCCTCATACATCCTCTCCTTGGCCTCTTTAAAAAGGCTCATGGTCTGCTTGGTCTTGTTGGTCAAGTTCTCCATGACCACGCGAAAATAATCGTTCTCCCCGAGAATCTCCATTTTGCCCTCGTATCGGGACAGAATGGTGCGTAGGTGCTGGTAGGTGTCCGGCAGCAGGTCCAGGATGTAGGGGGGGCTGTTCTTCAACGCCACCTTGGGGTTCTGGCACAAACGCACCACCTGGATAGCACACACGGTAGTAGAAGACGGGCTCACAATAGGTCACGTCTATGTGCTCATGTGGAGACAAAGTGTTTTTGCTTGTTGGAATCATGCCTGCTGTCTATACTATTACAAGATCATGTCCTTACACGTCGAAATATCTGAAGTTATCAAAGTGAAAGTTCTGCAAACATCACATCGGGGGCTTTCACACTGAACAGCGACTTGGCTCTCAATCCAGCGGTTTCTTTTAAAAAGATTTGTGGAGGCATTTTACTTTTGGCTCGGGCAGTAAGAAAGAGGAAGGAACACAGCGCAGTGTACAGTAGGTGTTAATATATAAACTGAGAGAAACGGCAGGAAGGCTCTGTGTGTGTGTGTGTGTGTGTGTGTGTGTGTTAATGTTTGCTTTGCAACACGACAATTCGTTAAATCTATTGTTTACTTCTGAGGGAACAGAGTTGGGAGATGTGGTTGAAATAGCAAGATAAGAATAATTCAAAAATCAATATGCAAATACTCAGAAAATGTATGCAAAAATCACAAAGAAATCCAACTCATTTTCTTACAATACACACTACTGCATTACTGTATTATCCCCAGTCTTAAGTGGAAGCATATGACTGGAAGTTTAAAAAAAACAAAGTTTTAAAACCAACAGCAGAACGGATCAATCAGTGCCATGTGACCCAAAGACCCATCATACTGTCGAGTAAATGAGACAGCACAGTGCAAACTGTGTATTGTACTCTTGTCTTATCTGATATCTGTCTCTCTTCTGTCTCTGGCCCCCTCTGAACTAATATCTCGTCTCTTCATCCCTCTCTGCTTTCTTCTCTCCTGACTGGCTCAGTTAAGATTGTGGAGAAGATGAGCAGGAGTGACAGTCGGTGATGCGAAACTAACTAACACACACCTCTTTTTAATCTAATGCCAAACGTAATGCAGAGACCCATGAAGTGTGTCCACAAAGTCATCAACAGATTAGCATCACTGTGACCTCATGCACTATAAATTACCCCAATTAGATAATGCATCTGGGACCCTTTTGAGGGTTTGATATGGTCATAGAGACCATGTAGACAGTCCCACAACTAAATGCTAAAATACTTCCCGATATGGATCTCTAATCACTGATTATCGAGTATGAAAATTTGTTGCACAATAGGTTTTGGATACATGTCTGTTTATAACCAGTTCATAAGAATACAGTTGTTTGCCCATGATGATAATAAAAGAGGGAAGCTAGGAGTGGATGTTTTTCTGATCTAAGCTAACTAACGTTACTGATAACTGACAAAAGTCAAGTGACTCGCTTTCAGTTCCCTGTTTTGTGTTTTTTTTTTTCTTGGTACCCAAACAGTGTCAGTACCTTATCCATGAGTTTCCAGCATTTCTCCACCATTTTCTTATCGACCACTGCAGGTTGGTGCGGCTGCAGAGGCTGCTGGTGCGGCTGAAAGGCGTCCTTCATCAAGCCGATGAGCCCGGCGCCCCTCCTCGGATTTCCGGCCATCAATTCGGTCGGCAGACCGGGGGTTTAGCCCCGGGGGCTGAGGATAGCCAACCAAGTGATTATTCCTCACACGTTCCTCAACAAAACAACCGCTGTGTGTGTGTTTTTGTTGCGACCTATCTATACTTCAACACTTGTGATCGTTTGTCATGCAGAGGCTGTTGCAAGAGCAGAACAAAACGTCTGTGTGTACTCTGTGCGCGACGCAGCTAACAGCTAGCATGCTACATTTGAAAAAAAAAAAGAAGCCTATTCTCAATTTTAATTCAGTCGCCAAAATAAAAGCTTTAGGACATACTCGTTGTGTAGTAGGTGTCTGCTGTCAGACTGCTAGCTATCTCTTCTTGGCGACAGCAACTTAAATCCCCCTGAGAAATCCACCCGGCTTATAATAAAGTCGGGGTGTTAATAAGCCACATAAGCGATCAACAAACAGGTTGTGCAGCAGTTCCAGCCAACGACAGGGCAGCAGATAAACAAGGATGTCCGGCACGCAGCCTTCAAAATAAAAGAGGGTGGCCATTGAACATGCAAAACTGCGATGAAAAATGCAGCAAAATTGTTTTTTTGCAATACTACCATGTCAGAATACTGCAATTCTAAAATAAAGTACTGCATCAAGAGCTACGGATAACATGTAAAGTACTCAAAATACTGTACTTAACCACAATTTTTGAGGTAATTGCACTTTTTTATGTTTCTTAATACTTCTTCACAATAATTCAACACATACATTATAATATATCATTATATATATTAGGTTGCCCAGCAGTAGACCAGAACTTGAAATATTAATGTGGTGTAGGGTATGAAACACAAATTATAATCTCATAAAATAATCTAATCTGATATTGAGTACTTTTACTTTTGATACTTAAAGTATATATTCAATGATGATACATTTGTACTCTTAAGATTTTGAATGCAGGACTTTTACTTGCATTAGAGCAAGCAATTTTACACTTTTGATAACTGTAGTTACTAGCTAGCTACCATGTAGATTAATGTTATATATATATACAAAATATAATCAACTAATAAATGATAATGGATTAAGCCACCCGGCAGTTATAAGTAATTAAATATTAAGAAATTAAAATCTGTTCCACCGTTACCAACTGCAACAATGAACATCCTAATGAATCACAAATTATACTCTATATTATAATATACTTTATTCTAAAATGGGCCATTCTGCATCATGAGTGATTTTACTATTGGCACTTTTATTTTTGTTTAATTTATTTTCAACTAAAAGGCATTGCACAATGTGTTTGTGCATATCTCAGGAACATATTACTACTTCTATTTAGTTAATTCTGGTGGCAATACTTTTGTTTATTACTTAAGTAAAAATGTGACTTTTTAGTATTTGTAGTGAAATGAATGAAACGCAATGGCAGCCTGGGCGTTGGTGGAAACACATCCACAGATATAAAACTCCATAACTGATGACTTGAAAAGCAGTCAGTTGTAAAGTATACAATATTAGTAGTAAATGAGCTAAATCACAAAACAAAAACACTTGTATGATCCTTTTTTAGAAGGTGTGTTTAGCAACATGTGAGCTGCAGCAGCACAGCAGGGAGATGGAAACCTTCACATCGACAGCCACTTCTTCAGAATCTTCATGATGCTTCTGTACTGCAGCGGCTCAGATCACCTGAGTGCTCCTCACATTACAGCTCAACGCCACACCGGAGGCACAGCTGGTGTACGATGGGATGAAATCTGTGACACCCCAGTTCCAGTCACCGCTGCAGGAAATTTAAGTACACACGCTACATAAAAAAACAAGGTGAGGCAGAGTATGTATGGAAGAAAATGTTTTTTTCTTCTTTTTTATTAAAGAAAGAGTTGAAAAGGATGAGGTCTGCAGAAAATATGGTTTCTAAAGACAGCTGGTTTTGAGCCCATGTGTCCAGTTCCTCATAAATTGACGATAACTGCATTTGTGATGCTGCATTTCATACTCTGGGTAAAAAAAAAAAACATGTAATAATTACATTTATACAATTCTATTTGATAGAAATTTATGTCTGAATTTGATCAAGTCACCCAAGGAGTCTGGACCCCCCTCTGTTCTGCACCATCAGATGAGCCTATACTGGAGTCCCCTCGAAGCTCAAAGAAATGTTCAACAGCTGAGCTCCCAGCTCTGCCCGCTTCCCTCCAGGTAGGAACTCTGCAGACAGCTCTCTGTAGGTGCTGCAAACTCTGCGCTCCTGAACATCGTCCCTATGAATGGCATGTTTCCATCTGTGCCGGGCCTCGCCGTACAACACGACTAAAGACCTGCGAGGAAGACGAAGGGCCACGTGGACTTCCTCTGCTAGGCCCAGCTCTGGCAGACCCTGTTCAAGGGACATGGTGAGTGTGGTGTTTGATAACATGTTGAGGGTGACGAGCCGTTCGCCCCACAGCCAGGAGTCGTCTCGGTGTGGATCGATGGCGGAGCCTCGCTGAGGATGGTAATCCAGATTGCACTGCTCCACTGGTTGAAAGCCAGCTAGACTTGGCTCTTGTTGCATTCGGAGCACTAGTTTTTGGCTCAAAGCTGGTAGTCCGCTGAAGCCACCGGCACGCACTTTCCTTTTCTTGAAGTTAACTTTTGGACCAAAGTCCTGCAACAATATGTGAAAAGAATTGTTTATTTCATCAGAATATAACAGCAATAATAACAATAATATATTAATACATATATTATATGCGTGGTGATATTCACAAAATACATGTGTTCCACCTAACCTGTTTCCTTCGACCAGACTGAGACTCATTCCACACATCCTGGTCCATCGTGCTTATCAGCTGTTTCTCCTCCTCTTCTGATATGAAGTTCTCCTGCAGGAATACACCAGGGAAGGGGAAGGACGCAGCCTCTGCATCTTCTCCAACAGCAAGCCTCGTCTCAGGATCGTACAGGAAATGATGCACAGGCTTGAGAGACAGAAACAAAATAACGTCAGATATACTCTTGATTAATTAGACATAGCATGCCTGATGTTGTCATTTCTGATGATGAAGTACAGATTGACAGTATGAAATGTGCATGACAGTCAAAAAGTCAAGCAGAGATAAGTACAGATTGACAGTATGAAATGTGCATGACAGTCAAAAAGTCAAGCAGAGATAAGTGAGGTGGAGGAAGAAGTACTCAGATCCTTTACTTAAGAAAGTAAAAGTCCTGCAATCAAAAACTTGCTTAAGTAAGTACTATCATCAAAATATATTTAAAGTACCAAAAGTAGTGGTCATTATGCAGAATAGCCCATTTCAAAGTATATATATTTTTACAATATAATTATTAATGCTTTAATGTTGGAGCTGGTAAAGGTGGAGCTATTTCAATTACTTCATAAAATAATAGCAATAAGTCATATCACACTTTTCAAAACAAAGTTAAAGTACTTTACAATAAAAACAATAAGGCTAAAACATAGATTTAGAATAAAATATTATATATATACCAATATATAATAGATCATAATGTATTAATTGATTCATATTTTGTACTAATAATTTAAATCTGCAGAGTAACCAGTCTCTAAAGTTATAATAAGAACAAGAACCTCAAAATTGAACTTAAGTAGACTACACCACTGGATAGCTGCACAGAAACGTCTTGTAATGAGAAAAGATGGTAGTTAACGACACGTTATTATACCGTAATAACGACAAAATACACGTTCAAAGTATCTTGTTATAACGAGAACAGAGCCCATTAGTAAAGGCTGTCCTGTGAGGGCTTCCGTAGCTGCTATATTTTTGAGTGGCTAGCACCAGCTATGTCCGTTTCCTGCTGATAAAATGTGTACAATACAGTTTTCAGTCAGATATGTTTACCGTTAGTTCATTCGCCTCTAATTGTCCCTTTCCCTTTAAAATGTCACACTGGAGACAGCGCCGGATGCCTTTACAAGCACAAGAAGTAACGCTGCTATCAGTAGCCATCATCACATCATGCGTCATCGTCTTCTTCTTCTTCTTCTTCTTCTGTCGATATGTAGGTGACGAACCTGTAATAAGGGAACACCGCCACCTAACGAAACGTGATGTCTGTGTATTCCATGCACTTTATGATGTATTTACAACACACCAGGATTATTGTTAGATTTCCGAGGATTATTTAAAAAGTTTTCCCCCTTCAGTTTTTTTTCATTGGGTTCATAAGAGGTCCCATTGTATTTTCACACAGCACTAGAATATACACATTATATACATGTATACATAGCTAAAACCTGTAGTGGAATGTACTATACTTAAATAAAATTTTCATGTACTTTACTTGAATTTACTTACATATTATGCTACTGTATACTTCTACTCCACTTAATTTTAGAAGCCTATATTGTGCCCTTCACTAGTAGTAGTTACTTTGCAGATTTAGTTAACAAGTACAAAATATCAACTTATTCAATATAATATATTGTAATGGTTTAAACTACACAGAAAAAACCCCCATTAAGATTGGCCCCACATTTACCAGATGCATTATTAAAAGTAATCTACACTTTAATGCATCACTAAGTATAATCCAGTAATAGCATATCATATTTAGAAATGGGACATTCTGCATAATGGACTCGTAGTAGAGTATCTTTGTACTTCAGTAACTGAAGTACAGTTACTCAAGTAGAAGATCTAAATACTTCTTTCACCCTGAGCTGTAGGCGTCTACATTCAGCTTGGAAGACATAGCTCAGGGCAAATACAGTCATGTAAACCACGCCCACCGGATGTACGTAGAGTTTCCCCGGGAAAGCTCAGTTGCTGCAGGAGTCGTGAGTTCATTGAAGTTGATGAAGAAGTGTCTGTAAGTACTTTTTATCCACAAATATTAACCGATCAATTATCCGAATGTTTGCTTATGGAAGATAAACGATTAAGATGTGCACTAAAACTCAAGAATAAGTGATTTATTGTCTGTAATGTTAACGTAGTAACCTGAAGATACTAAGAAATGGTGCTTCCCAACGTGGCTGGCTTACCTCTGTTAATACACTTTATAACATCACATGTATCATGGTGGAACTAAAAGCAGATGTTTTTTTTAAAGATAAGACAATGCATCTCAAAATCCATCGTTGTTTGAGGTACAAAACCTGCAGTTGAGGCTGAAACATGTTGGTTTTGTTATTGTTTCAGCAAAATGACCTTCTCTGTGGTAACTTTATGATATAACGTATCACCACTTATCCGCAATGTACGAGATCATTGTAAAATAAAAAACACACTTTACTGTAATCCTATATCATTAAAAAATAAGGAAAACACTAGTTGCATTTCGAGAAATTATGATTTTATCCACATATTCGCAATTAGATGACCCCACAAACGGCTTTATAAATTGTTGTGAGGCCAATCTTAAGTATATGTATGTATATATAGTATATGACTTTTGTGTCCATGGGGGGTATGTAAGACATAAAGGTGAGCATCAGTAAGATTAAGTATGTTTTCCCATACAAGCAATTTGCTTTGGTGTTTCGGTATCTAATAATACACAAGTTAGAGAACATGCTAAGGAAAGCAAGAGTAATTAAACATAAATGTAGAATAGAAAAATGTTAACTAAAAGTATGGAAAATACTATGAAATATGTAAAAAGAGCTGTACAGAAATTTGGGCTCAGCCAGCTCCTCTAAAGTTAATCGATTCAGCGATGCAGAAGAGCACTCTGGGTGTGGTTAGTGCTCCCCGGTGTGTCGTCATAGGTGCAGCAAAACACCATTGAAGCACCCAGCAGTGATGCTGGGTGTGGTCAGAGGTGTGACAGACCTGAATCTTACAAAAGAAGAGAGCGCTGAAGAAACTCTTTAGTCCCTCATCTTCACTCCCAAGTTGTTTGTCTGGTACCTTCATTTTTTGAATTGTGGTCTTTTTTAACAGCTGAGCAATGGCGAAAATAACAGAGAAGCTTTTACTGGAGAAAGGCTCTCCAAAAACCAACAAACTGGAGCAGGTCAAGACACTGAAGTAAGCATGTTTTTTTTTTTTTTTTTGTCGTCATCAGTGTTAACACCAGTTTATTTGTTAAGCTGGAAAAAAGAGTTGTTGCAGATGCACCTACACATTTAGTTTGATTTCCTGCCTTGTGGAAACACTGACTTGAAGTTCTGTTATTTCCAGTTTATCCCGGCTGGGACTGAAGCCTCAGGACTTGCCAGTCGGTCTGCTGTCCCGTCTCCGGTCCCTGGAGCGGTGGGACCTCTCTGGGAACAGGCTGGATGAGCTGCCCAAGAACCTGGAGCTGCCTGCGCTTTGCTACCTGGACCTCAGCGACAACCAGATGGAGGACGTGACCACGCTGGAGTCTCTCAGCAGTCTGGAAGAGCTCAAGATGGAGGACAATCTTTACATCACTGTGAGGATGCGGCTAATGGCTTTCTATTTGCTTATAATACCCCGGTTTAGTGTGGGTTTTTTAAAACAATAATCAAATCATTTCCACGACTGGCTTTACATTGTGAAACTTTCACGCAGCTTTGTCTAGTCGGAGTTTAGGTGGATCAAGCTTCTTGAATAGAGTGTGAAATGATCCATTGTTCTCTTTTGAGTAGCCAGTCTTTCACCCACAGCCTTGACCAATGACCAATCAAGCCAGCTAATTGTAGTGAAATACACTTTTTTGAATGGCTTCGAATAGCTGCCAAGTTGCATGGAGATTATGTTGCATGCAATTTGCAACCCACAACTACTTGCGTGAAAGTTTCCCTGTGTTAAGCCACCCTAGGACTCTGTGGTTGTCTCCTCACAGCAAGAAGTCTCAGGATTTGATTGCACTCGTCCAGTTTGCATATTCTGACTGTGTCTGAGTGGGTTTCCTCCCACAGTTGGAAGCCATGCAGATTGTGTTTACTGGACACTCTCAGTTGCCTGTAGGTGTGAATGGTTGTCTTATATGTGTGCTGCGTGAGAGACTGATTAGGTTGTTCCCCAACTTTTGTACTTTTGTGAACTGGGAGGGGGATTCTGCCCCCCAGCACTCTGACTTTGACTGATAATCTTGCTTCTCTTCCTCAGGTGAGTGATAATTACAAGCTGATGGTGTTGTTGCCCAACCTGAGGATTCACAACGGGAAAGATGTCAGCACTAATGCCAACCACTTGCGCTTCGTCTACAGTGAGAACCTGAGGACCAGGGTATGGAACTGGTTGCTTATCTTTTGCTTTCTTTCATGATATGATTGAGACTGTTGTGTGCCAGTAGTCCAGTATTGTCCTCTATACTAGGTATGATGTCACACTGCCGGTGTGGTTACAAAGTCTCTGTAGTGTTTGAAAGGGAAATATTCCTGCACAGTTTGATTGCATAAGCACTGTCTTTGTTTTTGTTTTTTTTAGATAATTGCAGTGTGGGAGAAGAGCTTCTCTCTCCCAGATCCCATCACAGCAGAGCAATTGTCTGCTTTGGAGAAAAACTTTGTCAAAACTGCCCGTCAGCAGGTTAAATATGGACCCAATTCAGTCAGTGACTTCACCAAATGGAGGGTAAGTTCATGATGTTGGAGAAATTCTGGCACCTTTTTCTATTTTTGCGTTGCCCTTTTTTAATTTTCATTCACCGTCTGTCTCTTTGTGTCCTCTGCTTCTTAGGTGGAGATTATTGCTAAGGAGTATCTGCGCTCTCTGACAGAACCAAAGGAAGAACCGGAGAGCAAGGGGTCTCCAGACACCAAAGAGAACTGTGTAAGATCTCATAGGAGGACCTGCTTTCCCACGTTATCTCCACCAAACTCTCTGTCGTTGTGATTCTGAAACCGTACAGTGACTTTCGAAAGTAATGGGAGTAGTTTAGGTGATATATTCTAGGGATTGTAAAGGAAATGGTGTGTGAATGATTTGATTAAAAGCTTGTCGTGTGTTCCTTTTTTTCAGGCTGTCTCAACGCCTACGAAGAGGAAACAACTGGTATTAGTGGACACCAGCATAAGCCTGACGCCTCGCAAGAAACCGCGCTCGGATCTCCCGGTCTCCCCAGTAGAAGCAAGTCCTCGCAAATCCTGCCTCAGCCGCAAACTTCAGACGCCGACCCAGACCAGCGGCGTCAGGATGAGCCCCCGCAAGACGAGTCAGCCTCCCTCCACCCCCACCCGAGGTCCGGCGAGGGCAGAGGCGCCCAGGAGAGGAGCTAAAGTGCGACAAGCCAAAGAGGACGACGAAGCTCGGATAAAACAGAGGAGCCGAATGGAGCTGCAGAGAGACGCTGACTTGCTGTCCTCTCTGAAGAGCTGCAGCAAGACACAGGTAATGTACAGATAGACAGATTGTATCTGCAATATTGAAATGCCCAGCTCTTGGTATTGTCAGAATGTCAGGTCATTAAAGTCCCTTTTTTTGCCCACCACTCTGCTATAATCTCCTCCCTTTGTGTCATGTTTCCGTTCCTCCGGCAGCCGGTGTGTCTGAAGCCTCTCCACGTCCTCCAGTGCCACAGTAAACAGGACAGCTCGGAGGACTTCTCCACCCAGCTGTGGGCCTGTGCTTTCCAGCCGCTGCCAGATTCCACAGGTACGGCTCCACAGATTAAGAAAGATGGTTCCCTCAGATTTATCAGGGCCTTTTTAAAACAAGGCTGAGATTATCAGAATGAAAGGCTTTGTTTACCAGAGGACTATAGAATTGATCTTTTTCCTGTATTAACAGGCGCTGGAGGAGGAAGCCGTTTGGTTGCTACCTGTGGTGGAGACTCTCTCTGTGTCATTGACTGTGAAACCGGGATGGTGATGAAGAAGTACAAAGTTCCTGGAGAGGTTCGCTCCATTAATCATCTTATAGCATTGTTCTAAATGGTAGATTTCTACATTCACAGTACAACTAGAGACATTTTGGAAGTTACACCGTATTGTTTTGATTTGAAGCTGACATTTTGCAGACATTAAAGCACTTCATATATTGGTTTTTAAGATGTATTATTGCAATTGTCAGTATCGATCTGACGTTTTGCATCTGTCGGTTCCCCGCCACAGGAGTTCTTCTCCCTCTCCTGGTCCACGGTGTTGATGTCCAGAGGAGGCGGGGCCTCGGCTCAACACTGCAGCATTCTGGCAGCTGGTGGGAAGAGGGGACTGGTCAAACTGATCCACCCCAGAAACAACGTGGCCTACGGGGAGTTCCGCGCCAGCCGCAAGGCGCTGTCGGTCCTCCGCTTCAACCACCACCAGGGAAACTTCCTCTTCAGTGAGCCATAGTTACTGTTTCTTGATTAAGAGCAAGCAGTATGACCTCTCTGTATCTGACAGTCACCCGGTTTAGAGGTCCAGCATCATCAGACAGATTAGAGAATCATTCTGCCTAATAAATACTTCATATTTGAGCGATATCTGGTGGTGGACAAACAGTGAGGCACATTGCAGTATTATATTTGTAAGAGACAAGTTAGGTGACTGGTAAATTTATCCATGCGTTATATTTTGTTTTCCTTTTTGTACTAGTGTGACAACTTCACTGACACCAGTTTGTCTCTTGCAGCCGGCTCATACGATAAAAAGATAGTGCTGTGGGACATCGGTGGAGTGGACAGCCAGTACAACTACAAAGTTGTGTGAGTATTTATGCTGAAGAAAGCCACTTTTATGTCTAGCAACAACATTTTTGCAGCAGTCTATACGTTTGTTTTTTAGAAAATCAAATGTCTTGTGGAGATTCTTTTTTTCACACCGTTTGACTGGAAACAAATCTACACACACCATACATTTAATAGACAGTTAAACCCTCAGTTGTACATTTACATTTGTAATGGCTCCAGCAGGTTTGTGTTTGTGATGCTGAGAATATTTCTGTCCCTCCAGTCAGCTGCTTGTGTTGGAGATCAGCACCACCCCTCTGCACATCTGCCTCCCCCCCACTTCCCCCAGCTCACACCTACTGACTGCCTGTGAGGACGGCCTGCACTGCTACAACACGCTCCTCGGCACCAACAACACCACAAAGAGGTAAAGGCATCCACAGTGTGCATGCGTTTGTCTTCTTGTATCCATTAAAGTGTCAGTTTGCTCTGAGGAGCTTTAGAGTGCAGACATTCCTTACAAAAAGGGGAACTTGAGGTGTCAACAATACCACCCTGTCAGCCTCTGGCACCACATATTTTGGGATAGCAGACTTTTCTGAGAAACACAGATCACAAAGAAGCAAACTTCAGTAAACGTTTTTGCTTTTACGGTTGGAAGTGTGACAATGTGAGTTAATTTACTCCAATTAAATTCTGACAACAGAAAGAGAGTACATTATACTGGTAATAGTCATATATGAGTTTTGTCCATCTCTGTTGATTGGAGTTTTAGTCAGAAAACAATGTGTATAAAATCATACACTGGACCAGCCTGCAACACTTTGTGTGTTTTTTGTTCTCTGTAGGACCGAAGAGATGGAGATAACTTTCCCTGTCTATAAGAAGGAAGACAAAGACCACGACTACCACACCATTGATGGCCTTAGTTTTCTCACGGATGACATAGTGGGTAAGTGAGGCTCTTACAGTATACCGCTATTACAAACAAAGTACTGACCCTCAACAAGTAATACTCATACTGAATATTATTAGGTATTTTAGCCGTGCACTCTGGCAACAAAAATCAAAGGCAGATATATGAGGACCAGCTAATGACTTATTCATATTCCTATTTACATTGTGTTTTATGTACCTAACACTAAATATGGAAGTTGGTCAACTATGCCGATTTCCTCTGTAAACAAATATCCTCACTGATTATTTGTTTGGTCACCACTAGATGGCGCTATACTTTAGTTTTTGTTAGTCCCTGTCTTGTAAGACCATGACTTCCAATGGACCTCATGTCTGTCTTTACACCTAACCATGTATTTAGTATATACAACCCAGCTATAAAAGATCTCAGTGTTGTTGCTTGCTTGGTATGCTTTTTAACTTTAGGTCTAATCAGTCACAATTAGGTCAAGTTTACCAGCTGTGCTTTCTTAATTTCAGCACCATATCAACATTAAGAATGTCTTCAATTTAAATTCTAAGATATGCAAAAACCCTGCCTCCAGAAATCCCTCGTTTCTGTCCATACGTTTGCTTAGATTTTCTCCTTTTTTGTCATCATCTAGCCTCCAAGAACTACATGCATTGTTCCATTTATTTGTGGAGCTGGAGCCGGACCAAGGCCCAGCGGCCTGACAGGAAGGACAGGACAGTTTGTGCTGCGGTTCTGGCTGAGCTGCAGTGGGCCAACACGGAGATTCCCTACCTGGCTCTCAACACCTGCCCAGGTAAGTCCCAAGTCATCTGATCAGTGAAGCTGCATTTTTCATTTTGTTTTCATTTTCTAATAATCCTTCAACACACCTGCGAAAATAATTCTGAACATGCTTTTGTCAGTACTGATGTGTATAACACTGGTGCTCCTCTAGCTGCATTTCCAGTTTATCTGTTTATTCCACTTCAGTCTCGGTTTGTGGCCGGAGCAGTTTACGGTTTATAGTAAGCTTTGTGTTTCAGTATCAGAGGAGAAAAACCTGATTTTTGAAGTCATGCTGATATTATACTGTGTGTGTTCACTCCCTCTCCCTTAGGCCAAGCCTACGTAGTGTGTGGTGATGACAAAGGCAGGCTATGGACATACCACGTCTCCAGCTTGCACAAAAACAGTCTCCACACAGGGAAACCCATCCTTCCCACTGAGGTATCCATCTCCTCTAAATGTCCTGTTAACTATACTACTCTGCTTTCATACAATATTGTAGGGGAACCCTCTAAATATGTCACTGTAGATCTTGTGTTTACCAGAGATCTCTTTTGTTTTGGCAGTTGTTGGAGTGGCCGACCCCGGTAAGCAAGGACCACGGCCAGGTGGAGGGCCCCTCCATCAACAGCGTAGCAATGGACCCTGAGCTCCACTTCCTGGTGGCCCTCAGTGACAAGAATATGGTGATCGTGTGGAAGAGAGGTGTCCTCCTGAGCAACACGGGCTGTGTGACTGCAACTCACGATCGGAAGTCAGGTGTTACAAATCCTTAGGTGGGGAAGACTTTTGGTAATTGTGAGCTATGGTTTGTTTACTGTAACACCAACATGCTGCTCTGTCTCAGGCAACAGAGACAGACTGCAGGGATCCTGTGTCACATTTTTCACTTGTTTTCTTCATTTGTTTGGGGAAAGTGACTTTTATGTTGATGTGACATCAACAGTGAAATCCGTTTTAACCTTCTTAATTTGCAGAATTTTATGCTGATATAGATAAATGTTGCTGCTGTTGGGAATAGTAGCCAACAGAAGAGATTTGTCAATTGTCACTATGTGACAGATTTTGATTTAAATAAATGTAAAGTCATCATCCCTGAATGAGTAAACACAATGGTGATTAAGCATATGGCCCACTGATGAAAGCCCATACATATGCAGTATTACTGATTGGCTGTGGTGACGTTCCCGGGAAGTCCCGACCCTGTTAGGATCTCTGGGAAGTGAGATGCTAAAAAAACTCACCTGCGTTTACCGCTTATCGCTATACGTGCCGCCAAAGAGAACAAAATGAGAATCTTTGAGATTGTAGCTGTAAAAGAAGCGGCATATAAAAATGTCCGGTCCAACCATAAAACATGGCGTTAGATTCACCAATAATAGGTAAATTATTCAATGTGATGAATTACTGGAAATTTATGGGCAGAAGTATGTGTCGCTAGAAACTGAAAATAACGTCGAAGAGTTTTGGGTAAGTTAAGACTGATGTTTGTCATAAATGTCACCTTCAAATATACATATTTAAAGTGAATAATTGTACGCGAATGAACCTCATCTGTTTTTTTAGGGTCAGTCTTTGGACCTTGCTGTTCAAAGTAACTTTATGTAATGTCCTGATAATGCAAACAGTCAACACTGCTGTGAGGAGTACAGAGGCAGCCTGGTTACTGACTGCTGAGATAGTAAATACAGTAAAGTGTTTCTAATCCTACAGTACTTCTACTGTACGTTCCTGTGTGCAACTCGCTGTGTTTTTACGTTAAGTTGTACAAATATCTTGATTTAATAAATCTAATTATTGCATTTTTAAGACTTATTTCATTATTTTGTGTGTGCATCAATATCAGTTTTACGTGTACTTTTTATTTATATTTACCTCGCCATCAGACATCCCTTTCCAACGCGGAAGTGAAGCCGTTATCTATACGCTCTTCAAAGCTGCAAGTCTGCTTTGACAGAACCACTGCCTCGTTTGGTGAGTTTGTTTGTATTATTGTGTGACTTTGGTGAGTCCAAACGCCCGCTTTTAAAAACCAAAGTCAAACAATAAAACTCAAACTAACCGGTCGAGGCAGCAGTAGCAACTCCGTTCTTCACACAACTTCTGTTGTGTGACATCTGTCCTGCATTGCTTGTTCTGCAGCTACATACATATAACTAATAAAGTGGGGCTCTGTATCAGGTTCATCTGGCCGTGTCGCAAATGTTTCTGTTAACGTGAACAATGAAGCATGTACATGTACTCAAGTACTCTAGGTACTTGTACTGTACTCGAGTATTTCCATTCTATGCTACTTTACACTTCTGCTCCACTCATTTTTGTAGGAAACTATTGTACTTTTTACTTTTAGATTTAAATAACTAATCGAGAAAAAAAACGTATACATAATATATTACTAAAGGTTAAGCTACTCAGCAGTATATAAAGTAATTAAAATGAACCAGAATATTTGTTCTACCACCAGTAAGGACCAAATAAAGTTCTAGTTTGCAGTAGAGATTAGAGTTTGGGGATAAAACCAGCTAAGTAATCAGGATTTTTAAACACGGATTAAGTGTGGACCCTATCCACTTGAGCTCAGCCAGACTCACAGGCTGTGTCTCAATTCAGGGTCTGCATCCTTCGGAGGCTGCATTCGTAGACCGGTTGCTCACAGCGCTGCGACTAGTGCTGTCCCATTTTGCATTTTTGTTGAAGAGTCCGTCAATGCAGCCGACGAATGCAGCCTTCTGGTCCCAGATTTGGAGGACACATCTGATGTATCCTTCGCGGCCCACCATATCCCAAGATGCATTGCGTGCCGGTGCGCTATTACCGGCAGCTCGGCTGCCTGCATCCGACTGTAGTTAGCCTTGTAAAGTAACTTTTAATAACTTCACTTTCAAACCTCAGAGGTTGAATAATATCTTACTGAGTTTGTGATGATTTTACAGATGATTTATAATTTATATCATGTACATAAACGGACCAACGTGAGCTCAGGTAGACAGGTTGTGAACCTGAAATATCACTTTAAATCCGGTAACGTTTCAAACGTTGAGATTAACTACACGAATACACTGAATTTGAGTATTTTTCTGATTCTGTTCTTGTTTTGTTAGAGAGCCAGGAGCTGAGGGGAGAACGATGAACAAACATTCAGCAACTGTAGCTTTGAATTAAGACATTAGTCCATTTGTAATATCTCCATTTGACCATCCTGTACTTAAGGTTACAGTTACATTAGCTCTCATCCTGTACAAAGCCTTCACTAATAAGACAACCAGTAGATCCTTCTGATGTGTTATTGTTGCCGTCACAGAGATGACAGTTGTGACTGTCATCTTTTTATTCTATTTATTTAAATTGACATAAGACATCCATGTAAATGATTTCTATGTGAATATGTATATATTCTGCTGTGTAAAATGTGTCAATCTTCTAAGTTTGCATCCCTGTGTGATGTGATTTGGACAATTTTGGAGAAAATGTGCCTGTGGGGGGGATGTAACCACACAAAAAAAGAAAGAAAACAAACTCTGGACTAACTAAATATAAAAACAAATCCTTGTCCCGTAAGCCTACCTAAACCGGCACTGTACCACTGCCAACAATGCCAGAATGTGACCACGGGCCACGACTAGGGTTGGGTATCGTTTGGGTTTTTTTCCGATACCGGTGCTAAAACGATACCGTTGCCTAAACGGTGCCTGAACCAATACTTTTTTCTTCAAATTAAACAATATATTAACTGTTTAAAGTATACTATAAATATAAATAAATACAAAACACTTGGCTTCAAACTACAGCTTCAAACTTTTTAACTTCAAACTATGAACAATATATTAACTGTTAACAGTTTACAGTATACTTAAATAAATAACAAATACAAAACACACACACACACACTCTGTACACACACTACAGCTTCAAACTTCAGCAATTCTTTTCCAGAAATATGAGCATATTTGCCCTCTCTGGCAAAATACGACCTCTCCTGACTTATTTTATTTTATTTAACCTATTTTATTTAACCAGTTGGTGGCGCTAATGCGCCAATTCATCGTTTGCCAACCGCCACTACATCTCGAAGTAGAAGAAGAAGAAGCTTCCGCGTGCCTGTGTTGTTGTGCTTATGAGCGGCAGCGCTAAGTACCCGGATGTCGACGAAGGAAGTCAGTAGCCTGCCAGCCGTATGACAGATCTCGTTCTCGTTTTTTTTTTAATAAATCATGGCCGAAGCTTCGCTAGAATGATGGAGGGGTTGTAATAATACTATGAGTGAGGAGCGGAGGACCGATGCTATCGTTAGCATATGTCCTAGGACGAGCTAACCTAGGACGGAGTCATTAGAGTAGTGTTAGGGTTAGATGTTTTCAGGGGAGACCCAGACCGCTGGACTTTCTAGTCGCACCAAAAATGAACTGGATCCGGTTAACAATCAAAAAGTATTTAATAAACAAGAGAAGCTAGAACAGTTGCAAACTGAATTACTCTATCGATATCAATATGTCCCCAGGGCAGAGTTCTCACAAGGCCCACTAAATAGCCCAGCCCAGCTGGTAAACTACCCAGAGTGGTAACGGCGCGACCTCTCGCAAAAACCCTCTGGAACTAAGCCTATATTTAAAAGTCTCTGTCCGAAAGTTTAAATGTCCAGTATCAGCCTCTGTGATTGGCCGAAATTCAATAGCCCCTCCTGGCTTGGGGCAGTTATCATCTCAGTGTTTGGTTGAAGTCGTCCGGACTCCTCCTCAGGTCCTGGTGGTCAGTTGTCCATCCCTCTGTTCTCTGCTGCACCTCTGTAAAGACTCACTCAAAATGATCTCTTTCTCACCCTCAAAACTATTCATACAGTGTTTTAATACCTTTAGTGACTATACTTATATGGTTTAATACATTCAATGAGTAAAATACTGTTACATAATATCCTCTACAAGTAAGAATATTGTAAACATAATACATTCCATAAGTAAATATATTGTGACTTTTTAACCTATTTTGATATTATTATTATTGTGACACTTCTACTCACCACTTGGGGTGTTATTTAGTCCTACTAATAATGCTTTTAATACTGAAATCCTTAACAGTAGTGTAAACAAAGTATTTCAATCGGCTCAGGCAACGAAAGGAAGCACCGAAATCTGCGTTGCATTTTGGTCCGGTAGATACTGGTCGTATAGGAACCGGTACCATACCGGCACCGGTTTTCGGTACCCGACCCTAGCCACGACAAGGCCCGGATTGGGTTTCGTATTTACCGTGCACTGCACCTTTAATACCAGCTCAAACCACTCAAAAGCCCACAGATTATATTTAAGGGTACATGTGGCAGTGAATGACTTTCTGAGACCAAGGATTACCCCAAGATTAAAACATTTATTACAACAAACAACCATTTAATGTTAAAAGACAATAAAAATCTTGTAAGTTGCCTGAAGCCTAATTTTTTAAATGACCAGAGCATGAAGGCCGCACGTCTCGTCAAGATGTTTAAACTCAAGAGCTTAGAGAAATAACCAAGGCCATTATTGATAAACGGCAAACTCAGAGGCATGTATTTATAGGTATATTATTAGTGTTAATGGAGCTTTCCTTATATTGCAGCTTGTGTTCATTCAAAAGAATATTATAGCTATTTGTGCTGAAATGATAGACCTTGGCCCAAATAGAGAAATGATAGAGAAGACTGCATTAAGCACATGCTTCTAAAGCCACACTAACTTAGGTTGCCAATTTAAACAGAAAAAAGAGTTTCATTCCTCATCTCAAGGCTGCTTGTTCAATTAATATTCTGCTTATCTTGCATGGACGGGTTCACTGAGTCCAGAAGGCTACAGGAGGAACCTCCAGAGCGTGCCTGAATATGGGACTGCTCCTGCTCAAGGAAAGAGACAGGAGTTTGGGAACAAGAAAAAGTATCAATCAAAATAGATTTTTATTTATTTACAAACGATTTTCTGTTCCAACATTTTCATCCCCTTTCTGATCACCTATCCAGCCATTGTCATCACTTTGTCAGTAATCATCCCGTAGCTTCAATGAAACAAATCACAGCAGTTGCCCATGCAAACAGTAAAGTTATTTCCACTCCTGTAGTCCGTCCAACCCTGTCTGACACACCGCAGCCAGCGACCACAAACACACATGCGCGCTCACATGCACGATGGCCCACAATGGAAATAAGTCTCAGAGTTTTTGGTGTTTTTCATCCGTAAAACTCATGCGCCAGGGTTTCATCCTGTACTTCTGTTCTTCTCTGTACATGCATTTAATTAGATTTATGCACCTACATCCAAAGTTGTTTAGTCATATATATTTCCAGTTAAATGCATCACTTCAGCCAACGTACAGTACAGCTCAGTGGAACCAGACAGCAGTCAAAAACAAGGGAGAAATGGGGATCGGTGGAGGGTAGACTGTTGTCCCTACTGTCTCTACTGTCCACCAGGGGGCGACTCCTCTGGTTGTATAGAAGTCTATGAGAAAATGACTCTACTTCTCTCTTGATTTATTACCTCAGTAAACATTGTAAACATGAGTTTATGGTCTCAATCTCTAGTTTCAAGTCTTCTTCAATACAGCATGATGTTCAAGAAATGGGTTTCTTGTGATCATTACTTCTTTTCATTGTCAATTAATAAGCCAACAGTGACTACGTTTACACGCTCAATCATATTCCATGATTATTCTGAATAAGAGAATATTCTGAATTTAATGTGCTTCATGTAAACATCATATTATGTTTGTATATTCTGAATTATTGTGAATGGATCATGTTCATATTAAAACATGTGTGATGT